TTTAGTAGGTGTAAGGGTTGGATGCGTTTCAACAAGAGCTCGCTCGCTCGTGTCTTTTATACTTGTGTGTCAAGTTCATTCCGTCAGTCATTTTACTGGAGCTCGGAGAATCCAAGTAATACCATCGCAAGCGCTGCTTCCTCCGTGTCGCATGCACTGAGCAGACCCATTCACATTTCAAGTCGCGACTAGAGGAATCCCCGAAGCGAATATTGTTTTCCTGTGATCGAGAAGCTTTCTGATTTAGCAGACCACAGGCAGCCTGCGGTCCTTGGAAGATTGAGACGAGGTACGAGAATGAATGTATTCGCTCTATTCCCTGTCCTGAGTGTGATGATGGTCTGATAAGTGATTTTGATCCGTGGTGAAGTGTATGAGAGATTATTGACTGACTTTGTTAGGTTTCTATGGACCGGGAGATTCTCCCGCAGAACGCAAGGGCTTCTTCACCTTACGCTTTCAAGCTTTCAAGACCCTTAGATTCACAATATACAGGCCCTTCCTCAATTGTATGTTCTCAGTCCCAAACAAGCGCCTTTGTACGTGTCTGAAGATGCAACATGAGGGCTACGTCGCGTCTGTTACGTAGGTGGACAGCCTGCGTGCATGTAGTAGGTGGCATAAGGGTAACGTCTTGCGGGACTGGTGGGCATGCATAATTAATTCGATCGCGAGGTTCGACAATTAGAAGGGTTCGAAAGGGTCCGAAGAGATGGACTGTATTCTTGTTCAAATCGGGGGATTTAAGAGGATATCGACCGGGATAGCCTATTCGATGAAACACCTTGAAGGGAACTCGGTGGGAACTATGCTTGCACTGAGTGGGCCGAGTCCTCGTTCATGCATGAAGAAGGTATCGGGTGACTACTGTAAACACAGACAGTGGGTTATCAGCAACTCTAAACTCTAAACATAGTGTGTTGTTAACACCATAGTCGAGGACGGAACAGAAGCTCCTGCAGTGGACACCATGATAGTGACACCGGGGAAATTTGTAACTCATCCAGGCCATATGCGTCAACCCGCCCTGTCTCCTCTTCGGCTGCGGCCAGCTTCTCGATTCCCAATTTCACACTTTCGCCTCGCAGGTCCATGATGCATGCCCAATATGCAAGTTAGGACAATACCCGGCAGGTTCGAATCGTAGTCGAACAGGATAATCCAGATATTGATATGTCGTACTTGTGACATTTCACTCGATAGAGTGCGACAACAACACTCTCCTCGTATTCGCCGCATGGGACCGTCATAGTATCAGCTTCTGAAGATGTGGACACGTCGACTCCACCGGGTATAAATGTTTGCCAAACTTAAAAAGTTAAGTAGCAGAAAAAAACATGGATAAACACCCTGCAACCCCTTGATTAAACTCGATGCGACCCCCTGAAAGTGTACCTTCTAAGTTCTGCATCTGCCGCATCTCTTATCTGGACATTCAATTCGACAGCTGGTCCAAAACTAAGCACATGCAGAATCAGGTCCCGCTGGGATATTAATGGCCGTCTTGTTCCCTTTCAAGCGGGTCAGTGCCGAATTTCCGATGGTATCACGGTGTCGAAGATCGGATGCACCGGTATGTATACACTTTTGCCATGATCAGGCTCTAGGTTTACCAAATGTTCTTGGTTCTTGGTTCTTCTCAAATTATGGGTGATTGCACACTCTCACTGAAGTGTAAATTCTTGTCCTGGGCGACTCTTCATCTATGAATTCAACATCGCACCCGGTATAACTCCGCTGATGCTCAACTTGCAAGTAAATAGTACGTAAATAATCACGACTGACGGAGAAAGAATATTCGTCAGCGGGGATTTGGCTTGTTTGCGCTGGCTCCTCGGCCATCCGAACCGTATCAGTCTCCTCATCCTTCAAATTTCATTTCCTAACTGACCTTACGTAGGTCAATAACTCGAAGGGGACTTGGGCTCATCGGACCATCCAATTGCAACAGATATGACACCTATGTGTTCAGGAGACTACGGTTGAATGTGCGCTGCCGAGGGCGAAAAAGCGTAATTTATGTAAAGCTGTTGAACGCGTACTCGGTACTCGGACTCACTAGTGTTGGACTCTCTCAGGACAAGTGAAAGTCCAAGACTCCAAGATCTGGTCGGGGTAGTCTTTGATTGACGACAACTTTCAAATTCAATCTGAGCAGTCTGTGGAAGACAAATACGGTGGAGTCTAAACTTGCGACTGGCGTTATGGCGGAAACTTTAATAGGTTTCAGGGGAAGTGCGAGTAACAGTGCGCCCAAGCTCCAGCTGGCCCACGTCATGTCGAGGGGATGGCCTACATAACTAGCAGGTGAGGTTGGGATGCATCAGAAAAGGGGCAGAATGGTCAGTCAAGTTGAGCGTTGATGTACTACCCGCAGTGCCGCGTGCATCAATCTGAAGAGCGATTCTGGTCTGTCAACGAGGTCCAGTTTTTTTGGCGCGAACATTCATCTTCTGCCGTATCACTGAGTGTAGTGGTTGTCTACGCAAGATGGATTTAATTCTGAGAGGATCGTGAACGGCATGGTCTGACCGTCTGTGCTGCATGTTGTATTATCAATGAGGTTTTTCTTCGGGCATCCGCGGCGACACCAAGAAAGCGCACCTAATGACTCAAGCTAATGTCGTCTTCAAGTTACGGGGTACTGTCGTTAACGTAGTGGCTATCGGATTTTACATTAATTGCTTTTTTTACCACCTGTCACACGTCCATTCGGCCAGCACTAGATTTTAATGACCATCATGGGTAGTTTTTGATAGCACACCCGATGAATGCGCGAGTGCCATCCTCATGAGTCTTGTGCAATTTACTCTGAAGGTGTGCGAATATTAGGCTGAAATCTTTGCTTCTGAACATTAGCGCCGATGAGTTTAAAGCAATGAGCACTCTGAGTACTTCTTGACGGCATGAAAGGACTCAGGCCCAGGGACGTCCAAGTTCGGTCCAACTGAAGATCGGCGGACCTTCTATATTTGGACTCAACTTATTATATTTACGGATGCAAAACTTACTCAGCTCCTTCATCCTCCAAAGCTAACCGGTCGCTAACCTCTCGTCGCTCCTTTGGATTCAAACTATGGCAGATGTTACCGTGCTCGTTTCACCGACTCCACTCTATCCAAGACCTCAGTCTGCGCTTGGTTTCAGCCTGAATCTTGCTCGCCGTAGCCAGCCTGAATTAGCATCTCCAGTAATGGTTACTCTTGAGACAGCAGATCCCTTGACAGCACCTTCTTCGCCTGTCGAAGTGCGGACATTCGACGAAGCCTTACTTTTACCGCCAAAGCGTTCATTTAGAGGGCACAGAAACCAGTCAAGTAATTCCCGTTCGCAGTCTGCCCCACCCGAACAGGTTTCTTTCCCTGAACCTGTCAAGGCTCCCACACGACACGTACTATCTGCGTTTCCAGCTACATCTACATATACCCGTGAACTCCCGAGACCAGCGCCTCCTCTCTGTGAGTCTTCTTCTGTATACTTGTTTTCTGGTACTAATCCTTATTGCACAGTCCGCCCAAGGACTTTCTGGCGCAAGACAAAGCGTTCAGGCGTCACAGGCGCATCCTATTCTCCCGCTTCCCATTTAGTTCGACGGTCCACCTTTATTGCCGCTGGCCTTTCCCTTGACGCACCTGCCGCTGACCTCAGCGCCCTTGGCGTAGAAAGCCGTATCTCGGTGCTTGTCCTCGGCCCGGATCACATATTGCAGCTCTATCCCAGCGTTGGCTGGTGAGCGTGCATAATGAAAAGTGAACATACCATACAATCGAGCGGAAGTGGGACTTTGACCCATTGGGATATTAATTATGCATATGCATATGGACGTCAGGATAACGGTCTTACCTCATCGTTGTATCCCACTTCCTCTACACCTCTGGATTCAACCTCTTCAGACAGTCCTACCGATGTAGTTGCCTCCGCATCCACCGAGGCAAGCGCAAACACAGCTGCCATAATTTCTATCACCTCCCTCCCTCCTCTAAATACAACTCTGCCTCACAATGTCACAAAAGGTTCCTACCACCAGCATCTTGATGTCATCTTTCTAGCGCCGCTCTTTGCAGTGTTAGGCATCTTACTTGGGGTGGGTGCTGTGAGTCTGTGGTGGAAGCTCAGACTCCTTGGCGATGCGGGTTCTGGCCTGTGTGGACTAGGTGGGAGGAAGACCGGCAGTAGGAGGAGGATCAGTCTTGAACCTGGTCCAGCTTATGCACCTGCGCCCCTTGATGAGGGCGATGGCGGTATTGATGGTGCGGAAGGCTCCGGACCATACTTGACTCGCAACAGGAGCACAGAGGAAGTTACGCTCTTTGCAGCGGGCACACCCAGTAAAACTACGGTACACGGCACACGATACCTCTTCCCCACGCACATGCGTAATCAAGCCACTATCGGTGGTACTGTGACCAAACCTCTCTGCACACCATTCCTTATAGGTGCCAGTCAGTTCAACTCAGCTGAGGCTGCGGGCTCTGATCATGGCGACCCATTCACGTGGACGCATAGTGCTTCTCCTCGCGTATATGATGCAGAAAGGGCAGAGGCTGGCCAGTCTCGACGCAGCATGTTTCAGAGAGTCTTAAATCGCTCAACCGTGGCTGATGGCAGACAATATGCTGCGGTCAGGACGCACGATTCCTCCCCAAGTAACCACCCCCGCCTCAACTCAATCCCCACTTTAGCTCCAAACATCAACCCTCTAAATAGTATGAACAGTATGACTCCCCATGGGGGAAGGAGCAGCGCGGTGGATGTTCCACTGCGATCGCTCGAGGGTGGTGCAGGAGGGGAGGTGCAACGGCCTGTGAGGGCGTGGTTGGAAACTCCCGAAGGGGCAGTTCAGACTCCTGGGGGCACGAGATATGGGAGCGGCAGGTCCCCCAAATACAAGGCCACTGGCGACCAGCATATTGATTATAAATCAATGTCAGAAACTCCACGGACTCCCGTCTCGAAAGTCAGTCAGTTCTGGACGCCTCGTTGGAAAAACAAAGCTGTGCCGCTGCTCTCATCTCAATCCCCGGCTAAACCTTCTCCATCTCCACCGTGCATTGTACCATCTTCACAATCTCCATCACCGATGCCGCGATGTGCTGTATCCACTTCGACGCATAAAGTATCATCCAAAGAACGTAAGCAGCAGGACCTCCTTGAGACAAGAATGGAACCTAGGCTCAAATCGCTGGAGCGAAACACTTCGATTCCGCAAATCGACTCTTCCGTTCTCCCACGTAGCCCCCCGCTCCTGATGTCTCCCCCCCTCGAAGCCGCACTGCTCTTCACATCTACCTCATGTGGCGCGCTCAGTTTCGCCACGCTTGCGAATTTAAGCCCGCAGTTGGTCTCGTGTTCTCCACCAATGTCCAAAGCAAAGGACTCTGCAGGGCCTTATGACGGCCCCTTAAACTCAAAGTCCAAGACGAAGGCTGACCTGGGATCGCCCCAAGTTCTGAATGCTAATCAGAGTGCACATGTTACTTCCCCTGACATTTCACTCTTCCCGCTCCCTTCCTCTGCAAAAAACTTAAGAAGCGCAAGAGTCAAAGTAGATCCAGGAAAGGGAAGCGGCAGGAGACGAATAGAAGGACTGAGGCTTCACCGATGCTGCCGTTCCCCTCATATCCTGACCATCTCGTACATGCGGGACAGAAGGCATCTGTTTCAGCGACTCTCACCTCGAGCACCTCGCAACCCACGATCTCGCCCACGCCCACCATGCTTGCAATTCTTGCTGCGGCCCAGAGCTTGGAGCGCGTGAATGAGATCTTGATGAGAGGCTATAGTGAACGGGCACTTGGCGGTGGGGACATCGATGGCGAGGAGAAGATGTTGAGAGGGGGTGCTGTCGTTGCGGGTATTGAGGAGAGCTCAGAACATGGACGATATATGTAGGATGTATGAATTGTATCTATTTTTTGTGTTCTTTGTTCAACCTCTTGTTAACTTGGCATCTAGCAGCTCGTATGACGACCTGTAGAAAGGTGAGCGATTTTTGCATGCCAAGTATCACTAGTCACTGGTGGCATTTGACGAAGTGAAGAAGATCACAGTATCTGACTGTGCAAGTCCTGCAGAGGCCAAACCCAGTGTAACAGAACACTGAAGACACGAGGCTTGGTGCTGCAAGCGTCCGCTTATTTTCCAAACAATCGCATCGACTCGGTGCGATTTCCCTTTCAATCGATCATCCCCGACGAACACTACATATGCGTAATACCGACAATATTAATTGTCTATCATTTATGACTCGTTCGGGGACCTATTTTATATAAGTATTGTGCTAATTCTGGTGGACATCATAGTAAGTACAGATGAGTCATCTGTTGAACTAACGTCAATTAGTTTTTCGGTCTACCGTATCCATCGGTTTTAATTCTTTCGACGACGAGAACAGACGGGCTCGAGGCACTGTGGAGTTGAGCACGCCTCAAAGCTCGCCCAAAGTGATTCCTTTTAATCTCATAGCGATTTGTGCATGAGCGTGCCTCATAGTATATAATCGTGCTATAAGCTCCACAGAAACACCCAAAATGATTGCCGTTGTTCTAAACTTTGATGCCCTTTGAGCAGCCCACTCCATTGATGGACAGCCACAAGCATGGTCTGTCGTACGCCGCAAAAGTGCTCACCAGCTGTGTTGCAAGGCAGGTTCATGGGTGTTATCACCAGGTTGTCGGACGCTAACTGTACATCTAGCTGCAACCTGAATACAGTGTCAGCGTTGTACGTGGTGATCTCGAGTCTCATGCTAGGCATCCTGATTGGTCGTGTCCTGGCTGACATCATATGCAATTTTGCAACCTGGCATGTACGTCAATTAGTTACTCGTTCTCATTGGCGCCTACCTAACCCTCCCCGACTATCCTGCCAAAAAAACGCGACTTGACTTACCCCTGCACGTGTAGAATCGACTTATGAACAACCTAGCATTCTAAACTGAAGTTGCGCCATTACCACATGTATATTCATGAATGTAACGTGGGTGAACGTGCATGTTCGCAACTTTTTATCTGAAGTGTTGTGTCACCTGGTCTTCAGGACCACGCAGCGGTTCATATTGATAGGGCGGTACGGTGGAGTGTGGTCCAGGGTGTGGCAAGCCTGTAGTGCAGTGTCAAACAAGTACATTTTTGACATCGTCAAATGCAGTGAGTGCGATAGTGTTTATGATGGGATGATAAGAGATGCCTCGAGGACTGTGTAGTTGTACTTACGTCATATCAATTTAAATTCATAGTCCGCATCCTCGATGACTGCCGCAACAGTGTAGAACGAGGTAATGGCTCTAGACCGATGAGGGAGATGGAGAAAACATTTCTGATGATCGGAAATCATCTCTCCATCTCCCTCATCGAAAGAAGTTATGTACGCTCACATTTTGTCCATCTTCTACACATTCAGTGCTCTACGTGGCCGCTCTGCCATGCTTCGTCCATCAACAAGCCCTTACTTATCAATTGTACGAGAAGCAGTGTTATTGATACGCGGAGTCCGTGTGGATGAGCCTGAACCTGATTCTGAGGGAAAAACTTCTTCAAGAAATTCTTCTCTCAGAATCAAGCATCATGCAAATATCACAATCCAGCTACTCATTACTGTAGAGCCGCAATGTTAGGACTGTCATCTGCGACCGTCGAGGCTGTTTGTGCGACTTATCCGCCAGAGTGGCAGAAGACGGTGGATAAGTTCACACAGTGCCGCGAAATGGAACTAGCAGGCTATTCTTATCGTGGTTTTCATTGATGGTAATGTTTTCTCAGAGTCGACTTCGCGGAAGGGCTATTCTTAGAAAATATGCCTTCTTTTATTGACAGTACTTTGTCTGTCGGCAGCGAGCTGTAGATGAGCGGGTTCGCCTAGTCCAAGTGGGTTACTTATTTTCAGCGATATGTGTTCCTTTATTGATGGTCTTTTGGCAGCGGACCGCGGACGAGCAAGCACAGGTGAGCTATTTTCGAAAAAAAAAATCCAATTGTTGATGGCACTTGCCTTGTAGGAAATCGAGCGACTTCGCGCAAGGCCTGCAGCTTTGGAGGGCGGAACAACTGTTGTTTGATTCAGAATGTCTTGCAGCCTTACTTGAGCTCATTCATTCTTCGGCTGCATTCACATAAATGATAGTCTCGCCTCTGTAATAAGTATGGTGACTCGGTTCCGCAACGTACCGATATATAGATTCTAATCATATTGACATGGGTCGCAGTGGATTAGGCCGTGATGAGGATGCCTGTATTTGAGGGATGGAGTGAGGAACCCGTTATGTAGATAATAAGTACAACGCGCCAGCCAGTCATGGAATTGTATTGACGCAATCCTGCCCGCAATGTGATGGATGAGGAGGGTGAGAGAAGGTCAGTGGATGGGGATACTTGTTGAGGATGCGACACGGAACTCGTATAAGTAGGAGGTTGCCCTGGCCTCTGCGAGTCATTCTTCATGGTATCGTTTGTAGCACGCAGCCTTCAAGTTTCGCTAAATGCAAGCAACCACATCACGATCAGCCTTGCTGCCAAGAATTCGATGCAATACCTAGTCCTGTTTATTCAGCTCTTGTAACAAATCTATTTCCACCATCCCAGCAGAACGAAGAACATCTTCTCTCGGATCATCCACCTCACTCATGAGGTCTTTCAACACGCGGAGACGGTTTGTCAGCCAGATGATCTGGAGAACGCCAGCACTATCTATGGGCATCCCGTCTTTCTGCCGATATAACATGTTCCCTAACATGCAGATCGAGAGGATCAACATGGTCAACGAAGCGGTCAATGCAACTGCCAACTGTATCTCTCAGTAAAGCTTTGTCAAGTTAATTTGCAGTTGGGGTCTTACAGGCCACAAATTGATCTGAAACATAGGTCGGCGGAATTGAATGCTCTGTATGATGAAGTACCTACGTTGAGATGCCATTTTATAACCTGCCGAGAAACGACAGTGCTGCCTTGTGTTGAATCAAAGCCACCAGCATCGGAGCCGAGTTTTGCACCTGCATCGTCTTTCAAGTCTGGTACACGTGAAAATAAAACACTTTACCTGTCCACAACAACGATGCGAAGATCTTAGAGAGACTAGATTCGAATTGGCGGCGACTACAGAGAACCTTCTTTGGACCAGATGGAGGTGGTGGCCTGGAGGCTTGCTCATCCAAAACTACATCTAAACCAATTTCTTTCATAAAATAACTCAGAGGCGAGGCGTCAGTTGGTTAAAATAGCCTTCAAAATGTTTGACTTACAGCTCGAGAAGAGAAAGTCCGTAGCAGGTTGCATAACCTCGAGTCATACAAACCTTTACGGGGTGCATAGCTCCAGAGCGGAATGGAGATACAAACTTCAATGTGTTCAGTAAACGATGTTCACGATCGACGATAAAACATTTGCTAACCCATTTTCGATAAGACAAGCTATACTGACCTCCTGGCGACCAGACATCCCAAGTGTTGTTTCCCTTGGGTGCTGTCCATTCTTTCCAGTTCGAAGGAGGAGATAGAACCGGGGGCGGCAAGAGTGCCAGTAGTTGACCTGTTTCTATATCGACTGTCGCCGTATGGTGTTCAACATATATGTTGCAAGCTATTAAATAAGCATCAAGCACAGTCGAGATGATCGGAGCTTGAGGACTGTCTGTTGTAACTATAAGCGAGTGGGGCTAGGTGATACCGCGAGCACATACCGAACAGCAGGTCTTGTTGATATTCCCAGTTCATGTGCTGCACAGTTGCTGATTTCAGGGAGTCATCAATGTCGATGGACGTGGGAATTATGAATACGATGGTGGACTAAGGGTAGCATAGGTCGCTCAGAGAGCAAGCAAAAATTGAAACATGCGTACTCCAGGAAAAAATCCAGACATTTCGGTGACTAACAACTGATCTTGATCTACTGAAATGTAAGATACAGCTCCTGCAAGTGATGAAAGAAATACCGACAGGGAAATATCAACCGGGCCTGCCATTTCTCGGTCTGCTCCCAGCCTGAAACCGAAGGCTCGACCACATAGTCTCCGAATTGATTGGTATTCAACCGTGGGGTGTAGCTCAGCTCAGAATTACGGATTAAACCACACTCCGCTTGGAAGGTAGTTGCATCTACAGTGGCGTTTCCTGTGGCGCCATCTGCTTGAACGATGTCATATAGTGTGGCACCATCAAGTCCCGCGTTCAACGAACTAGTAAAGTGACTGAGAGACGGAACAATGGCGCTAATGGTGTGCCACTGAAGCCCCATCATGTCGACATCTGTGCCAGGCCAGTGAACAAATGTTGTTGCCGATATGTTTGTAGCTGCGGTGAATGTCTGCAGCTGCAATATGGATGATGAAGCCACATGAAGCGCGAATACGCATCCAAGATAGGTGGCGATAGACGCAATCCACCACAACGATTTAGTAGTGCTTGATTGCTGCCAGAGACACTGTAACGCAGAACCAAGGCCACTCCATGCGTTAACATTGTCGTGGAGGATGGTCAATTTTTGATGCTGATTCAAGTTCCGGTAGAGTGTCAGGCGTTGCACCAGGTAAACGAGTATCGCGCAATACAGCTTTCGGAGTCAAAATCAATCAAGTATAATTTGAACGAACAATATTAGCCTCACCGCATAAAAGGCCTGTGTCGATGCGCCCAATACTGACAGCCACGCACTATTCTCAGATGTGACAAGGCGGTGCTCGACAGCAGAAATGCTTAACGCCAGGAGAACAAGATGGAGAAGAACAAGAAATGCATGCATAAACACACACAAAAATGCTGACACCGATTTCGTTGACTTGTGCAGCTTTTGTGTGGACAGCGATGAATTCAAGATATTTGTAGTTGCTGAGATGAGAGTTGGACCTGTATTATTACCGGGCAGGCATCGACATTGAGTGTTTGTTGGTATTCGTTCAAGTTCGTGTAAAGAAGAACTCCCAATTGGCTCCAATGGCATGGAGCCATGGTTTCCGTCATGGTTTCCCTGTCGCTTCGTAGATAGCAGAGAAGAGAACATACCAAGGGTAGATAGTCAGCTTATCACAGTAACATTGCTTTAAATGATATATGGTCCCCATGCGATTACAAGAATGCTAGCATTGATGACACGGCCATAATGCATAAGATCGACTGGTTTGAGATACGGTTCGATTTATTTAGAAGTCCGATCGATGTTTACCGTAGTTGCACTCCGATCAACTCTCGAACATTAATATTGAGTTTGATAGTTCGCCTTGGACAGCCTTTTGGTGCATTCTTAGAATCTTACTATCGCAGCAGCGCGACGGAGAAGGATCGCGCAGGATCGTGATATCGTACTGCACAGTCTAACTTTGATATGGCTCCCATTAACTACGCATATGATGGATGTCAGGACACTGGAGACACTGCAGTCATATGGATCCTTTAATCAAAAATCTCACACCTATTCTGGCAGAGCGCGTATCATCACGCCACCTTCAAGATATTGATCGCCCGAGTCAACTGGTTTTCCAAATCCACCTCAGGCTACAAGATTGAGTATGGTATGTGGCTTAGACCGAAATTTTTTTATGTAAACGTCCTTGTGCTATTTTCGTCACTGACATAGTAGTATAGCCCAGAGGCAGATCAGGGATAGCCGCTGCGGCTTACCATCATTCTTCCACAAGGCCAGGATCAGCCCGTGTTACTCGAGTCTCGGTCTGCAAGCGAGCAAGTCCAATTGTAACCGTTCACCATGAGGCAAGTACAATTACCACTAGTAGTACTAGGCCGCTGATCATCTTCAAGTTGTAGTAGTAGATCTCCTGTGCCCTCTGATTTGCACCATGGCGCTACAGCGATCACCTGTCTCATCTTTTTATACAAGCGTTGAGAGTGTTAAGTAATGATGATTCCCATTTCTCAGCGTGTTGCGATGCACATTGCACAGACATAGTGGACAGTGGTACTATGACCGTGACTAATATAGTACTAGTAGGTCTCGGTGGTCAAACTCACTGCCCGAGTTGTCATGATCTACCGTCATGATGGGTGTTTCCACGATAATTCACAGAGGCAGTTATCATAACTAACTACAGCATATTTATGGCGCTGAACATCAACAATGATCTGCGAAAGATAGTCATCTATATCTTCCATCCTGGCGCTCATCCGAGTCATGGGCTGTCAGTGATCCCGGAGTCCTTACATGGTGAGTTATTTTACATAAGTTCACACCTTAGATCTCGGCAAGTTTTCTTTCCCATGCATAGGTTTTATGCTCTGCACTTCCCTACATCAGACGTGGACAAACTTCTGGAAAGACCTCTTCATATGGACTTGGGGTATGTCAGTCCTGACTAGTCTCTTATAGCAGTACGTATGGGTTTGTACGATGTCCTTTCACACCCCATCAACTCTCTCCCACTGCTACCCAAAGTTTTCGCAAAGCCACAGCAAGATCATAGTATCCTCCCTTTGCGCCCCATAGGTACCCGCCACATGCGTTCTACGGAGCTCGAACTAGCACAAACACATACTATGTCGCCAGGTACTCTCACGCAATATAGCGTCAAATTTCTCTCACATAAACTATTGCAGATCACCAATTGACTTCGTCAACGGTCCTTAAGCAGTGGCAGGAATCAGGGAGGCCAGTGCTTGCCATTCTATGCACTCTTTTGCACATCATTCTTGTCCTCCTCCACGTTGTTATTCTTGTGCTCAACATTTCAGGTATCGAGCACCGTTTAGTCGTCCCATTGACATCTGGCAATGAAATCTGGGTCACTATACTGAGTACATCATCACAGGCATTTTATGCGGTAAGGAATCATCACATATGTACTATTTTCTTGCACCGATGAACCCTTCAGATCTATTGCACGATACTCGTTTACTTGATGCAACGATTAACATTCCTCAAGAACATGATGCGACGCCAGACGGTAACCGCTCTTCATGACACAGTGAACGCATGGAAAGGCCTCGGTTCTGCGTTGGAGTGTCTTTGGCAGCAATCAACTATCCCTGCATCAAGGTGGAGCATACTATCCATAACGACCTATCTTGCATGTGTTTTTTCCCTTCACGTGGTTTCGTCATCTATCATTCAGTTGCAAACATTCAACTCAACCGTGGATGCGTCTGCTACAAAAATTTCTTACTGGCCTAGTCCAGATGTAGATATGATGTCAATCCAGTGGCACACCATCAGTGCATTGGTTCCCACGTTAGGCCGATTCGCAAATCTTCAGGGTATGGGACTCCACGGCGCCACTCTATACGACATCATTCAGTCTACTGATACACCTGGCCGCGCCATCGTCAATGCATCTTCGTTCAGAGCGAATTGCGGACTAGTTCGCAATTCCATGTTAAATTACTCTCCTGAAATCAATGCTGACAGTTTCGGATATTTTACACTCAACCCGCCAATATCAAACCTCAGTCATACCGTGAAATTTAGAGCTAGACTTATGCATCCATGTATGTATCTTTTATTTGTCCTGGAATAGATTCATCTAACACCTAATCTTAGATTCAGATGAGGTTGTGATAAGTCATACCATCTCGTCGTTCTTTCCGGGAGTACATATCAATCTTCCTGAAATTTGAATCTCTCGCTAAGTGACTATATTATAGCCGACTGTTGCTTTCATAGCCTCGACTGCTGTGAACTCAAGCAATTTACCTGGCGATGAAACAGTTCAGCACGTGTATTGGGAACATCCTCGCGGGCCAGGGGTCTACATAAGTAAGAGGCTTTGCTATGCATGAATGTGATCTGAGCGCTGAGCACGATCATAGGTGATCTTCAGTCTCCCCTGATTTCTGACATGTACGACATCCATATAGTAGCGTGCACTATTAATGTTCAACCCCGTGCCGCCACTGTTGACGTACAAACCAATCAACTACTAGGTCTTTTCCCATCCCTTGAGTCGGATGCTTCTGGTGAATGGGAGGCATGGTCAGTGCCGGAGGAAGAACCTAAATGGGATATTTGGTCACCGCCATCAGCAAGCGTATTGCATCATGAAAAATGGGCAAGTCTCTGCCATTGAAGAACCGGCTGAAATCTTACCATGTTTTCGGCACTTAATAGCTTGTCTCTCCTTTCATGGGCGGGGCACATCATCCCGTTGGTCGGTGCATGAATCAGCATCAAGCATCATGTTATGGGTTCTCTCTTTTGGAAGTGTAATTCATGCACAGCTCGCAGTAATGTTCAATCTTTGCTAATCATCGTCAGATTTTTTATGCAGCAGATTGGAATAAACGTCGTCTTTCGCGACCCAAAGTGGACTACAACCACTGTCCTAGTCAACCCTCCAACTCCGAAGCAAATTTTGGGCAGCCGTGAGCAATTTGAATCAGCTCTATCAAGAGCATATGCTGCAGTTCTGTGGACAGGTATGTTATAACTTCTGATTGATCTGTGCAGAAACAGTTAACTAACGTACTGCGGCTAAAAAGGCGGACAGCTCGGTGCCGACGGTGGCGGGTTTGATCGGAAAAATGAAAATACCACCATTTCACAGCAGATTCTGCAATGGCACCTTGGTGTAAGGTCAAGAATCATTCGATAGTGAATTTCATGGCTGAGAAATATATCATCCAGATAAACTTCTGGCCCGTAAGGATCTTCTTGCATCTGGGGATTGTGCATCGCCAACCAAATGATCTAGCTTGCATTTGCGCTCACCTGCTCTCTGCTCATGTTGGCGCTATCAATGCGCGTGACGAACGGAATGCATGAGCGGAACTATACAATGCCTATCAATAGCGCTGGCATTCTCCAAATCATGTGGCTTACTACGAACCGCTTCCGTGTATTAAGAGACCTCGCGAGCGACATCGAGGATCTGCAAGAGGATATCCTTCGTGCAGCTGGGATGGTTGATGTGGACCTGCTACAGGAGTTGGATGACGTGCAAGTACAGAGACTCAAATTTTGCATGTAGCCCCTTTTTACAACAGATATATCTCCACAAGGACTCAACATTTTCCTTCAATTCAAAGTGATATTTTACTCAGAACACCATGCTCTATAAACTGGGTAAGGTTACAAGACAAAAAATAAATCCCCTGAGAAGTTGAAAAATGGCATTTTTGATATTCTGCCTCTACTGAAAGCAGTTATCAATATTTTATTTTACTAACTTTAGGCCCTTGTAGAGGACACCTCAGGCTACAGTTCACAATTTACATTACAGAAAAGTATCGTGTTTTGGTGGAGATACATAGAAAATGATTCTGTGCATTACTTTTTTGAGTCTCTGTAGGTGATTGTTAACAGCCATTCCCGTGTTCCACTGCAGTGCCGCCGTCAGCAAGAATATGGGAAAGTTCGCTAGGATACTTGTTGGCAGCTGCGCAAAGGGAATGAAGTTCAAGGAACGGCTTGAAGCGGGTATTTTGTGAGATTGAAAGGTGGTTCCATGTGGAGAAGAGAGACCAGCATGATTGAGTGCGTTTTCAATGAACAAGACGGACTGCGTGACCAGGCCACATATTTATGATAAAATGTAATTGGTTCCCATGATGAAAGTAATGTAGAGCATACTGAATGACAGCAGTGGGTTTGCTGCAACGTCTTGTTCTCGAAATAGTTGGTCTCTCTGCTAACGCTCTGTTTTGGGAATTCGTCATGGTATTTTGCAACCAGGCCGCATATCAACTTCAAGTTGACGCTGGATTCAATCGATATTGAATTTCGGATGTTTAAGCCTCAATGAGACGCGACAGTACGACGTTCGAACAGCGACACTTATGCGTACCTGTTACCAGCGAGTTTGCGAGTTTTGCTTTAATTTCGGACGTTTGACTGGATTCGGGACGTTTGTTTTTTATTGGATTCAGGACCGTTTTGTTTCATTGGTGGTTGAGCCATTGAAAACTCACGTGCTTGAAAACGGTCCAAAGTTTCGGTCTGTCGGTCAGGTTGACCGTTTGTAAGCCAGCCCTTGCCCTGCCTGCACAATCTCGTAGGGAATTTGCCGATGCGATCTGCCCCAACACAGGACCGTCATCTCGACCTACACTGCAATTCCGGAGCCAAGACAGCGACTGTAACAGTCGAGCTTCTCGAACAACAAAATATCAACATAAAAACCCATGGGAAACACCTAACAATATCTGTGCATTTGAAGCGCTCAAGCCTCAGAGTCAGAGAACCACAAAAAGGGCGGATATACTACGGTGCCAAGCAACAATATTTATATGGCAAGTCGCAAGTCTTCTAGGTCATGGTGATTGCATCATCCAGGCTGAGTATCTCCATGCGAAGATAGACCCGAGGCTGTACAATTAGAAATCGGGCTTTTTTTGTCTATCATAGGCTTCTCGGCGTCTTCCATGTGCGATTTCTCTTTCGACCTAGTATGTATTGCGTCTTATATTTAACAGGTATCAATCACACGGCACGAGTCACGATGTAAGTATCCACCAGTGCAATGAATCACCGTCGCATCAAGTGCACGATCAGATCCACCGAATGGAGTGCGCTGATGTGTTTCTTCTCTGACTTTTGCCATACCACGGAATGCAACGTCATTACAGAAAGCAATCAGGGGAGCTGATAGCAAGTCTCGGGCTTGGCAAGCGAAGCTAAGAGAACACAGATGCTCATTGCGATCGCATCACGCTTGTGCCTGTGTTAGATCGATAGTTTCATACGGAACACCTCGAAAATGACATTGGAAATAAGTTTGCGATATCACTAACCACTGGAATCTTTCTAGTGTCCTATTAGGCCCTTTCTAGTTAATACTGGTTTGTAAATCAAACTCCACTTTGATTATCTAGGGCTTCCTTTTATTTGATTTTGAACCGTTTCACCCAATCAGGGGTCTTGGAGATATCCATCTCCGTCATGCTGGTTTTGTCGATAGAAGCGCTGAATTATAACTAGCACGAACGCTGTCGTTATACGCCACTAACCTTTCCCACTCGCTCACACCCATCCCTCGAACATGACCTACATCTCAAATGATCCCAGTTGGTGGCCGTCAATGAATTCCGCTATGTTTATCAACTATTGGCAAAGTCTGTCGCATCAAGATGTCTAGACCTAACGTTGACTTGCGGTTTTGCAGTTGCCTCCGGCGTCGTGGTGGTATACGATTGGGGTGAGCAGGACGGTGTTCGAAAATCGCTGATATTCTCATGATATTTCTAGTCTTAACACTCGGACAAGAGGTACGTAGATGTTCTCGCCGTAGCAGCCAACTCGCTAAGAATGGTGCCATAGATTGAACTCATCTGGGTGAGTAACAAGAGTCCCGTATCAAAAGAGCACGCAATGAATTCTCGACAGAGACAAGGCTATTCTCTCATGACTGTGCTGTATCTGATTGTTCGTAATCGTGTTGTGCTTTAGCGTGGTGGACAACTTGTGCTGACTCCAAAATGTTCTAGATACGCTATATTGGAATACTGAATTCTGTGTATGTGTCGAGCTCAACGACTTTGTACTGTGCTAATAGCTCATTTCTGACAATTAGTGTCTATCTTTTGCGTACGTCTCATATGCGCTGCATTTCATTTTCTGACGGCGAGACACAGAAAGCATGTCATCGGTATTGCTGACAGATACAGTAAGTATTCTGCAACTATCTCATTCCCATCCAATCAATACGCTCATATGTAGGGGTGAGCGAGATTCCAACCATTGAACTTGGCTCAACATAATGACTCAATAGATGTAAGTCGGAGTCTTTGATACTAGTGCGAGGGCGTTCACTAATTGGGAGTTTTAGGCAACGTCACGTACTACGCAATAAATGGGACAAATGTGGCTTCGACTGCCGTGTTGGGCGGTAAGTGACCCAGGTGCAATACTTCAGTGATATTGACCCGACTGACACACGATGCAAGTGATCATGATTGCTCGGTTGCATGCCATGTATCAGGGATCTAGGACGATGCTTATGTTCCTTGTTATTATCTTCCTGGCTGTAAACATTGCCTGCGGAGTAATCATGGCAATAGCACTCAACGATACTGTAGGAGGTAAGCTTTACTTGTCGACTTGAAGAACACGGCTCATTGGACAAATACCAGAGGAGTTTATATTATCTGGCATACATATGTGCGGTTATGCATATGGAGGGAGCGTGGAGCTTCTGCTTTCAATGGTTTGGACGCTCAACACTGTTTGGGAGGTCCTCGCACTGTGTCTTTCAGTCTGGATTGCTGTGAAACATTTCCGTGAGCTGCGAAGACTCAGCTTATCGACAGGATCGACCATCAAGGACTGTTTCAGAGTTCTGATACAATCTCATGTTCTTTATTTTGCAAGGTGAGCTTGTAATGTGAACGTGGATATATTTTTATGCTCAAGTTCCGCACATGTTAGCTTTGTTGGTGTCTCTTCCCTCCAGCTTGCTGAACGTTCTCCGGCAATCGCGGTGCGCCGATCTGTCGCCAACATCTGCGTGTAACCACTGCTCATCATTTCTGTTAGAATTCGAGTTCTATCGGAGTTTCGATACTCGGTGGTACTCTTCGAGTTTTATCGGTCGTGCAAATGTTTGTGCTAGGACCGCGCCTCATCCTTGGCGTTCGAGAATTCAATGCAAAACTCGTGGCATCCTCTGATGCAGGAACTACCATGGATCTGATTGTTTTCCAGGAGCATGTACATGTATCAACTAGCAGTACTGTGTAGGGAAATGCTTGCCGAGTGGTCTGCAGGGAGGAGAAAGTTGATCGAGGATCCGTCGTGGTATTTGTTTAACATACAGGGTTTCGAAGTAGGTCTAGGCAAACTTATTTATTGGTGTATCACTACTGGAACGAAGCACCCGCGCTTGAACTAAATGACAACCAAACTGGTTCTTGATGCCCGATGTTAAAATACAATGAGAATCAGTGAAAGTGCCTTGACAGCTGATTCTGATTCTGCGCGTTGGTGGTCTACTGTCTGGACGTATAGTAGATACTGCGGATCGTGAAGCTAGATGGTTGATAACTCATTGGTACTCAGATGCAATTTCCTCCATTCGATGGGCCACAGAGAATGAAAGGAATAAATTGCGTAGACTCATGGTTCGATTGCACGTCTTTCTTGCGAATGAGCATGACAAAAATATGGGGTCCGCTGAGTGGAGAGCGGAAAATCATAGATTGTCAGAAGGGTTCAAGCGTACATATCAAACTACTGATGAGGCATCGATCACGATATTCTGTTGGAGCCCTCCCTAAGCATGACCATCAGACCATCAGACCATCAGAGCAAAGCATCCTAGGGAAAGCATATGATCACTTGAATGAAGTATCTGATAGAATGTGAAAAACGGGGAAATTCGAAGATATTTCGCCGGAACGTTGAAGGGTAGCGTGATGTCTCGCACGTGAGCTGTTGCAACGACTATTCCTGCAGGCACTATCGATAGAGATGCGAGTGTATCGATGGCGGGATTAGGATACGTGTTCGATTATGGACAACTCGCGTGATGGATGAAAGAAGGATAGCCTAGAAATTACCTCCCATGAAATGAACATGCATAATCATAGGTCTGGATAAGGGAGTTTGACAGCGGACATGGATAGATGAGAAGAAGCATACCCATATTGCGGCGTAGCCATTGACACTGAACTGTGTTAGGACAGAATATGAGTTTTAAAACAGTACATACTGAATATGTACTGACGGTACGTGACTTGTCAGTTATGATTTACCCTCATCAACAAGGAGACCCACCGTAGCAAACTGCGAGCTCCTCGCTGCTGCTGCGATATCGTCGGTCGAATACTCCATGTACATTCCCGTGTTCCACTGCAGTGCCGCCGTCAGCAAGAATATGGGAGAGTTCGCTAGGATACTTGTTGGCAGCTGCGCGAAGGGAATGAAGTTCAAGGAACGGCTTGAAGCGGGTATTTTGTGAGATTGAAAGGTGGTTCCATGTGGAGAAGAGAGACCAGCATGATTGAGTGCGTTTTCAATGAACAAGACGGACTGCGTGACCAGGCCACATATTTATGATAAAATGTAATTGGTTCCCATGATGAAAGTAATGTAGAGCATACTGAATGACAGCAGTGGGTTTGCTGCAACGTCTTGTTCTCGAAATAGCTGGTCTCTCCTAAGGGTCTGTTTTGAAAGACGCTGGATTCAATCGATATTGAATGTTTAGTGAGACGCGACGGTACACGTGGCCACGTTCGAATGGCTTCTCAGTTCTTCAGACCATCTCTATCAAATCGTTTGTCTACTACGCGCGTAGCGACACACATGCAGACACCTCTGGTAGGGGTTCTAAATTGTTAAGAAACGTAGTCCAAGTAAACAAAGACTGTTGACCTAAACAAATGCAACGCTACTCAAACAACATGATACAAGAAAACCACGCCTATATCACCTATTCGCCTCACACCAAACTCATGGCAAAAGTCTCCCCTTCTCGTTGTTAACAACATGCTACATGCCGTATTCGTAAGTCAACCGAACACAGCACACATTAAAGCGACTCACCACTTCACGAACAGGAACATATGTGTCCCGCCTGCGCTTGAACCATGACAGAACAAACATGCCAAGGAGCAAGAATACTGAGAATGCAGCGAACAGCACGTTCATGCTCTCAGTAGCAGACGTGATGCCGAAGTAGCCGCTATGGATTCCACACGCAGATTCCCATTGTTTTTGGCTCGAGATAGCAAAGTTCTGGAAAACTTATGAGCGCGGGTCAAACACGACGTACACAAAACTTACTTCAAGGCGATACAAGAATTCTGTTACCGCTATGTCTCCTTGGTGACCGAAAACAGGATAAGTCTGGAATTCCTCGTTGGTCCCGTTCTTGAACCTGATGCGGAGGAATTCGCGGAGTTCAGGTGGAGGTCCACGAAGAATCTCAAAGGCAAGGGCAGATGCATGGTTTGCTGTAGTGATGCAAATATCGAGTCGCTGTAAGGTTGCCTGAAGTAGAACACTCACGAATAGCAGCGAGCTGAGGGTGCTCATTGACCAACTCCAACATGTGGAATAGCGAGATGAATGGCTGGTAACTCGTCTCAAGGAGAAGCAACCTCAAGGGGTCCTCATCAAAAGTGATGCGTTGAAGGGTGTGAAGAATGGTGTTAAGAATAGTACGACCAGCAACTAGGCAGGAGATTAGTTGCAAACCATACGAGCTAGTGGCACACACTATTTCCAATTCCACCAGTTTCCTTATCCGAGAAGATCGCGTTTTCGTGGTAGTTGGCATATCCGTGGGCCTGCTCAATGAAAGTTGGCGGAAGACGGTACGCATAGGTTTGGTTGTGCGTAAGTTGCGCGTTAATGAAGTCATAGATCTACATGGAATATAACAACATTAAATGACCATGAGAATGCTGCGTGTTACATACATTCCACTGTCATAGGGCGATCAGAACAAGTAAGGACGAAACGAAAGAATACGTACAGCGTTTTCCAAGGCCGTAGACCTCCCGAATACGTAGTCACGAACGGCGCCAAAGAAAGGTCCTGAAGATTTCACTGTCTCCCTGAATCCCTCGGACGCATACACGCTCTTGATGTGCTGCTCGAATGCCTATATACCACCCAAATCAGCCATCCGCAGACCCCTAGAGGCACGTAACTCACCGGACACTCAGTCCAGGACTCGAGCGCGCGGTCAACGTTGCTCGGGGCCATTTCGACTGGAATGTACTGGTAACCCCCGAGTGGAGTGACAATTTCCGATCCGTTGGCGAGGTGGATCAGGTTGTCAGAATTCGGCGGGAAGAGGCCTTGCAGGACGGCTATGGCACTATCAAAGACTGCGGTGCCTTCTCCACCAGCCTTGGCATGGACAAGCACTTGATCGTTCTGCACGAGGTCAGCACGAATGCCTTGAATGTGCGACGGGGAAGAGGGGTTGAGGTACGTCGATCTCAAATAGCAGCCAAGCTGGTGTGATTCTACCTAAAGTCGTATGTTAGGCAGCGAGCGCGAAAAATGAGGTAGACATACAGCGCCGAGAGGTGTGGACTCGGTGTAAGAGGGTTCGTAGGTATACGGATCTTGGTAAAACTCCGTGCGGTCACCGTTGCGGGCGATAATGAGGACACCATGAACATCAGGCATTGCAAGTCGTTAGTGTGGTTGGTAAATTACCTGGGAGGAGAGAGGGAATTAGATGTAGAGGTTCGGTTTGGGCCGATCTCCCCCAGGTCGCTTTAAACCTCCTCAATACACACGGCCATTCAGATCTACCGAACCGAATTAATAGGCGACACGCGGCTATTTCTTTGACACAATATTGCATCCAGTTGAAGCGTGCGGACCATAGAACAAGAGGCGCACATGCGTGAAATGGAAGAACATCTCATGAGCCCCTGGATGATACTGCTTCCATCCATCTCAGACTGCCGACTAGTCTTTTCCAGGGCTAATAGGTCATTTGAAGAGATCAACAACAGCATATCGGGGGGCTGCGGGAGAAAAATTGATGGATGGGTCAATACAAGACAAACACGCACCAAACGCATGCTGGCGATGTGATAGCCACGTCACGTAGATTAAGGCCGCCGTGCGTCAACCACGTGCCTGATCATTCTGCGAGCTTTGAAACGCACTCCAAGTCTGTCGATCCTGTAAACCAGCACGGAATCAGACGTGTAATTCATAGAGCGTACGCCATCATGTCTAGGTCTAGGTCATATCGTTGTATTTCAAGATACGACAGTCTTGATGTCGAGGCTCTGTGAGAGACTCGGAAGAACCATCGACACGTGTGATCGGTGAGGCGGGTAATGTAACTGCATGTTCGATTAGATACAAAAGTGAATGACGTGCGGGTTTGGTGCGGAGGCTTTTACGTTGCTACTGGATGAACCAAGGGTATATTAGGACGGCGGTGATACGATAACGTGCTGCGACCCTCGCGGAGCCTCTTCTTCGATTTGATTCGGATCGCAAAAGTCTAAGAGTCACAGTTTTGCATATCAGATTGAAAAGTGCGATCGAAGCTAGCAGAGCCTTTAGTACGAAGGCAGGAGCTATAACGAATGCGGATGAGGAATGCGCCAAAGCCCTAACGAGCCCATACTTCCTGCATTACCACTCACAGCATAATATCGATGGCTATACAACTTCGCAAGGAATACCCTATCACCACGGATTCCGCTTCCCAAAATAATCGTAAAACTTGCCCGCATCATAGTTTCGTCACGATGTTCAGAATGTTTGTCAGAGACATGTGGCTTAGCTCGATCACCGCACCCTTGCTGCCCATGTCTGTCTTTACCAAATCGGGAGAATGGGGATAGAGTGGGGACGCTCACGCATTAATGTTGTTTGTATGTCTGTTGCGTGGCCGATCAGTAGCAATGGTAAGAGGAAGTATAGATCAAAAAACAGCGCGAAAGAATTCATTCGTGAAAACAAAAGATAACAGTTAGTAATCTGGCGAAAAGTAATTAATGAGGAGATCGTTTACAAGTATGTTAAGTCCCACCTTTCAAGTTGCTGATACCATAGCTAGCGGACCCGAGATTTTTGTTGATACTGACAAGAGAGAATCTCATGTTGATAATAACTTTGCGGTTACTATTCTCGATGGCTGCGAGAAGGAAGCGTTGTAACCAGTGCTAGACCTGTGACATTGTATTTGATTGTCTCTGCAAGCACAGCTGGATCGAAGCTAAATAGAAGTCTCTACCAGGATTCTGCAGTGCCGGAATCACCATACAACCTGTAAAAGCCAGCACAGGAAAACGCACGATCGCAGCATTATTAATGATATAGTCCGAAACCCAGTGCTGTTGAGAAGCTCGAGACCTTTTAACGCCGAGTCTTGATACGGCCTTCGTTCATTACGTCGATTTGAACGACATGGAAGATTCCAGGACTGGATTTGACGGCATCAAGGCCAAGGGCTATCGCAAGGGAGCAACAGGTAATAAACACAGTGTTGGAAGATGACTGTAGGAGCTGTCAAGGCCAATTCCCTGGAGTGCACTGGACACATTAATATGAATAAGATAAGGGACTGTGGCCACAGCAGGTCCGCACAGGTAAACGATCAACTTTAAGTTACCCATGGCCAGTGAGAAACCACGTAATTACTGGCATGATTTTAACAAAATAATGTTGGCTTTAGATGAAGGACACAGCTGCAGGGACTTGTGAGGAAGAGACGGAAATTCGAAATGTAGTAAGGATCAAGAGATTCACCTGTGCTACTTACATAATGCAGTGTATATGGACTGTGGGAAACACTGCTTACTAAGTAACAGACATTTCGTCACTTTGCCTGCGAGTCTAAGTCAAGTCCAAGTACGCGCGACAATGGACGCTACTGCACTCAAAGTTTGGCTTGATCAAAGTCAGTATGTTTTCTGTGATATGATAAACGTCTTCTCACCTCCCGCAATAGTCAATAGCTGTCCCTGGCAGTATACACTTCTGCTCTCTCTTGGTGCTCTAACATTTGCACGTTTTACGTTCAAAACTCTTGTCGTATTCTTTCAAACCTTCATTCTTTCTGGGATAGATGTATGTGGATCATATAACACGTGTCTTTAGTCTTCCGATGAACCTGACTTGCCTTACTGCAGCTCAAGAAGTTTGGTGCTAAGAAGGGAGCATGGGCAGGTCAGTAAGGCGGCCTCTGCTAACGTGCAAATCTCACTCATTCGTTTCAGTTGTCACGGGTGCTTCAGATGGCATTGGGAGGGAATTTGCGATCCAGCTAGGTTCAGCAGGGTTCAACGTCTTGCTCGTCGCACGGAATGCCAAGATGTTGAACGACGTAGCAGTCGAGATTGGTATGAGTTCTTCATATCGGTGTTTTTCAAAGCTTCACATCTCTTCTAGCTACGAAAACAAAATCTGCAGTTGAAACTAATATCTACCTTATCGACTTTGCCCAAAACGACGACCTCAAATATGATGGCCTGAAAGCTCTCCTTCATACCCTCGATGTTGGTGTCCTCGGTGCGTGCTCAGTAGCACTCTTAAGCCTCTGTTTTTGACACAGCATAGTGAACAACGTCGGAAAATCCCACGCCATGCCCACTTATTTTGCTGAAACTGTGGAACAAGAAAATGCTGACATTGTCGCCATCAACGTGAATGCGACAATCCGCGTCACGCATGCAGTTCTCCCTGGTATGATTCAGCGGTGAGCTATTTAACCGGCATCTCACCTCTATAACTCCAATGCGAATGCACTTAGGAAACGTGGCTTGGTCCTCAACCTCGGCTCCTTCGCAGGTCTCGTGCCTTCTCCAATGCTAGCGACATACAGTGGTACCAAGGCATTCCTTGAAACCTTCACCAGCGCCCTCGCAGACGAGGTTCGGTCCCATGGGGTCGTCGTCCAACATCTCAATACTTACTTTGTCGTGCGTAACATCCATTCCGTATCTGAGCCATTACTTCTTAACATGTTCCCCCTTCTTGTTTTTTCCAGGTTTCCAAGATGTCCAATATCCGACGCACATCTGCGTTAATCCCCAGTCCCGCATCCTACGTGCGCGCATGCCTTTCCAAAATTGGCTTCTCCTGCGGTGCAGCACTCACTCAGCGCCCAGGCACGCTTACAGCGTTCTGGAGCCACGCAATCCTCGATTACGCGATGCACGTTATCGGATGGAAGTCCCAGTTTATTGCTTATACCCATTCGTTGCATAAGGATATCAGGAGAAGGGCACTCAGGAAGCAGGAGAGAGAGGCCAAGAAGCAGTAGACAGCCTGATGCTCTTCATTCAGATTGTGAACACGCTGTCATGGATCATAAAATCTTTCGGATTTTGTGCGTTGTCTGATGGTGCGAACACAATGAAATGTCTATTCTGCACAGAAACGATATATTCTTGTTATTGAGTTTCGTGTTAGATTGATCTAGGTCCGCTCGTCGTTTGCTCTGAGATCCGTACATTATCAGACTGATACTGCAACTTTTAATATGTCGATGTTCAAACTCTTCTGTGCGACGATGACTACACCAAGAACGAGACATTGAAACGCGTCGCGCCATCCTATGTGGCTGTCCGTTCACGTGCCTTGTCACATGCCAAACCATATAAACCATTTAGTCGAGGCTTGCAAGCTTGAAACTCGGTTGAACGCATCTTCGTTCTATCAAGGACCTATGTAAGGTCTGGAGATCTCACCGCGGGAGACTACAAGTAAGTGCGTACTTGCGTTAAATTTTTAACTATGAATCTTCTTCCAGCATCGAGGCCGTGGTCTACTTGGAGGGAGGCGACCGGCTCCAGCGCGGTATTAATGACTCTTCTTTCCCCCGGAGATGAATGAAGATGTGCGGGAGATAATCCATTTGGCAAGGATCTAGCGGTCCGTGTCTACAATGTGCAATACAGGCTTTCTAGCATGCCTATTGGCCTGCAAGGTATCCTGACAATCGCTGCTCATATGGGCAGTTTAATTTTTTGTCTATTTTTACGTGGCAAGCTGCTCACTGTGACTTTTGAGTCGAATGCTGAATCATACGGGGCTGCGTAGGCAGAAAAGGCATATATCTATCAGTTCCTTGCGCATGCATTATTGTCATTGGTGTTGGAATGTGTGAATGTGCTCCCAGATGGAAAAGCGCTTATGCCTATTGCCCTCTCCCGCTATATGCCCTTCGAAATCGACGCTTCGGTACAAGTAGCGAGGTACTACGATTGTCCATCGAACAAGCAGACATCATCGAGATTGTACTGGTTATTAGACTGGTACCAACTACTCTGAAGCTTCGTTTGCATTGGTCTATACAACCCCTGCAGCATGATATCTGTTAGAATTTCTTAGAGGCCCTGGGGATTGTTAACGCGACGCGACGCGTCGCGTCAGGGGTACCAAAATCTTGCTTCAACTGCCACTTCCGCTCAATAAAACAAACCTGAGACCAAGCTCTATTGTAATCGTCAATCAGGCCTCTGACAGAACATGACATGACTCTCTAGAAGACAGACACAATGTCATTGTTTGTTCGTACGGACCTCTAAAGCTACCGGGAATTGCCGTTTGGCAGTTGCCACAAATTCTATCATTGACACTGACAGCAACACAATTGAATTCATCACAAGCTGAGTTCTGTGAATGTATAAAGTGTCTACGCTTTTTGGACATTAAATTCGCTTGGTTTCGTATCCTCTGCGATGTCGTCTTCCCAAGCACACGACCCCTTCGAACTCGACCTCGGCCTACGAACAGGTATACCCGCCAGTAATCCGGTTCAGTACGTTGCTCCTACATCAGAGGACACACTCCCACGTGCAGGCTCTCAGCATACAGGAGAGTCTAGTCAGGACCCAACCTTTGGCGAACAAACCCAAAGTGAGACCACACTCGACATCCCAACACAGGTGTTGTCGAGAGAACCCTCATTCGAGCCCCAGGAACCAGTGAGTCACACGCATAAATTGTGGAAATTGCAAATTTTGATTACCTGCGTGTAGCCTTCCCGCTCATCGGCTCCGTCTCCTGCTCCCACCGAAATCATCCCCCTGGACCTCACACAAGAGGAAATCGTAGAAGAAATCCAGAAAACGGGAATAAAAGTTCGCGATTTTGCCCATGAGGCCGTTCCAATTCCGCAGCGTGCTGTCGAGCTCTTTGATCCGCTACAGGCGTGGAACACGTACGAGACCGTAATTTCGCACCCCACTATGATGCGGCCATGTCTTCCAGGGAAAATCACGCGTCGCCTGCTTGATATTGGCTGGCTTAAGAGAGAAGATGAAGAGGAGCGATGGAGTAATAAAGACAGGGAAGCACTTGAGGCCTACGACAAACGACCGCATTACCCATGGCGCGCGTACAACCTTCCCAAACCCAAGCGGGAGGTGCTTGCTAAGACGTGGAGAATGAGGTTTCAAGATATTACCGCTGAACAAATGCTGGCGACGATTTCTAGACCCTTCTCTAGGTTCAGAGCGCCTTTTGAGTTTGGCGGAAACATAGAGAAAAAGCGTAGTGCCACTGCTGACCAAGATGTGCAAGGTGGGGAGGTTTCTCCGCGGACCAAAAAGCGACGTTTGGAGCAGAAAGACGCAGCGTCTTTGGCACCAATGCTGAGCCAGCCACCTGTTCTAATCAATGGTCGGCCGCCCCAACAATACCCAGCTGGCAATCCTGCAGATATGCAGAAGCCATCGCCTTCCTTTCAACCAACTTCTACCCGTACGCTTCAGCGCGTATCGTCGTAAATTATGCACCGTTGCGATGGATTGCCCGCGGCGATTCTCACTGCGCCATTCCTGTCGTTTGCCTTTCTTTTGACAATAATTGCCAATACACGTCGTAAAGTAATGTGGTGACTGTATTACCTTTTTACTTCTTGGGATGAGGTATCTCCGGAGATTGTAGCATTGCTATCAAGTTAGCTGTACTCCGTGTTCCTTGTAATATTCCTTGTAATGTTTTTTTTGTTCTATTTACTTTCCAAACTCTTCCGTGAAAATAATCAGATAGACACGTGATAGCGACGTCGATCACCGATCATATAGATCATAATCGAAATTGCTGAACGGAGAGATTACTCAATGATAATCACCCAGTCCCAAACCTTAAGCTTGTTAATTAGGCGTATGTTTTAAGTACTGTTCGTCTTCAAGCTTCAAGCATTTAATATTTAAGCTTTATGCAGTGCGACATCGGGTGAATGTACAACTGGTAGAATCGCATCTGCGCAGTTGAGAATAGATGACTTTCATCAGTAAAATCACATCCGCCAGAAAACCAACTGGCCCTCCTGGGGAACAAAGTTGAAGGTTGATTATCCTTCGTACAGTCAAATGATGTCTGAAACTAAAGTAATAGAGCAGGCCGTCAGACAGTATTTACAAGGACCCTTCAGCATCTCAGGCAACGGCGTTCGAATGATGCTTTGTAGCGATTTGGACAGTAGCTTGCACGTCCTCTTGGAGGAGCCGCCACTAGTACTGAATTGAGGCAATAGTCGTCAATTTTTGACCACGGAAGTCTCAAAGTCGGATGCCGTCTTTGGTTGTCGGAACGCCAGCTTGTGTCGCTTGGAAATGAGACAATTGCGAGAGGGCAAGGTTAGCCACTTGAAACTCGAGGAGCCATGCTCTCAAGAGATCCACGAAGTGGTTGCTGACCTTATGCAGGCCAGAGTCTATTGTGCAAGTTGATACCATACTGTTTTAGATCATGATAGAGTTATACAATCGCGGGTTAGGCAGTGCTGTGTGAGTTTGAGTCAAAATTCACAAAAGACGTACGCCAGACTAGTCACGAATCTAAGTGTTGGCACAGATTTCGTGTCCTCGGTTCCCATGTTCGAGTCATATGCGTACGGGAGACAGACTGCGTTGAAGTAGCTATAGGAGTTCCGGGAGACTGCACATTCGGGGTCTCCACGGTCCAAACACTAGTCAATACGTAGATTAGCCGTGCAGAGCTTGCAGAGCTTGTCTGTCTTGCTCTTGCTCAGGTCGCTGGCCGTTGGCCCGCGCTCCAACATGTAAATTTTGTAGTCCGCCAATGACATCTGACAGACTCACTCTCACAGAATGGAAGCTTACTGAAATACGATATCATCAGGATCAGCCTGTACCAGTGTACAATCAGAAATAGGGCTTCTAGCGTGTCACAGGGTTGTTGACAGGCTTATTGTCTCCCGTGTGCAATTTCTCTTTCGATTTGAGGATGGTGTCGTATAGGTATTCAACATATGTCAATCACGAATCATCAATCATGATGTATTTGGCAGTGCAATACATCACCATCACATCAAGCGCATGATACATTGAATATAGTGCGTTCTATACCAGATTCACTCCATCGTTGTTATATCTCTGTTCACCGTTTTGGATAACCCAATAGTTCAAGCGTACGAGGCGACGGATAAGGTGAGATACATTTGCTCCACTTCGACCTACTCTGTATCACTGTTTCTTGTCCGGCTTCTCTGGTGCTATGCCGCAGAATGACCCTTTTCCAGGCTGTTGCGCCTCGGTCTCGGCCTTGCAAGAATGTATATCCTTGTTTCCATCACATGACGCTTAAACGTTTATAAACCTGTGTTAGATTGACGGCTACAGGATTCATCAAGATCTCCTAGATCTTTGCATGCGGTGCTATCTGCATGTTGCGACATGTGACTGTTTTGGATTTGTATATTTGGCATCCTGTGAAGGTGGAATAATGATTCTAAAGCGACAATGTGTGTTCCACCCAATCAAGGGTCTTGGAGCGGGATCAAATATCCATCTCCATCATGCTGATTTTGTCGATAGAAGCGCTGAATGGTGGTATAACTAGCACGAACGCTGTCGTTATACACCACTAACCTTTCCCACTCACTCACACCCATCCCTCGAACATGACCTACGTCTCAAATGATCCCAGTTACTGGCCGTATATCAGTGCAAATATTTTTTTGAATTATTGGATAGGTTTGTCGCATAAAGATGTCTGGATCCAACGTTGACTTGCGGCTTTGCAGTTGCTGCTGGCATCGTGGTAGTATATGATTGGGGTGAGCAGGACAGCATTCGAAAATTGCTGATATTCTCATGATATTTCAAGTCTTAACAATCGGACAAGAGGTACGTTGATGCTATCGCCGCCGCAGCCAACTCGCTGAGAATGGTGCCATAGATTGAACTCATCTGGGTGAGTGACAAGGGTCCCGCATCAGAAGAAAACAAGAGCATGCAATGAATTCGCGACAGAGACAACGCTGGTCTCTCATGACCGTGTTGTATTTGACTGTTCGTACTCGTGTTGTGCTTTAGCGTGGTGGGCAACTTGTGCTGACTCCAAAATGTTCTAGATACGCTATATCGGAATACCGTATTCTGTGTATGTATCGAGACCAACAACTTTGCACTGTGCTAATAGCTCATCTCTGACAACTAGTGTCTATCTTCTGGGTATGTCACATATCCGCTGTATTTCATTTTCTGACTGGCGGGACACAGACAATATGCCATCGGTATCGTTGACAGATGCAGTAAGTATCATGCAATCATCTCATTCCCATCCAACCAATACGCTCATATGTAGGGGTGAGTGAGATTCCAAGCATTGAGCGTGGCTCAGCATAATGACTCAATACTAGGTGTAAGTCGGAGTCTTTGATACTAGGGCAAGGGCGTTCACTAATTGGGTGTTTCAGGCACTATCACATACTACGCAACAAGTGGGACAATGGTGGCCTTGACTGCCATGTTGGGCGGTAAGTTGCCCAGGTGCAATACTACCTCTGTGATATTGACCTGACTGACACACAATGCAAGTCATCATGATCGCTCGGTTGCATGCCATGTATCAGGGATCTAGAACGATGCTTATGTTCCTTATTATTATCTTCCTGGCTGTAAACATCGCCTGCGAAGTAATCACGGCAATATCACTCAACGATACTGTAGCAGGTAAGCTTTACTTGTCGACTTGAAGAACACGGCTCATTGGGCAAACACCAGAGGAGTTGATACTCTCTGGCACGCATATGTGCAGTTATACATATGATGGGGAGGCGCAACTTCTGTCTTCGATTACTTGGATTCTTAACACTGTTTGGGAGGTCCTCGCATTGTGTCTTTCAGTTTCGGTTGCTGTGAAACACTTCCGTGAGCTGCGACGACTCGGCCCATCGACAGGAACGACCATCGGGGACTGTTTCAGAGTGCTGATACAATCTCATGTTCTCTATTTTGCAAGGTGAGCTTGTGATGTGAACGCGGTTCTATATTTCTGCTCAAGTTCTGTACATGTTAGCTTTGTTGGTGTCTCTTGCATCCAGCTTACTGGTCTCTCTCCAGAAATCATGGTGCGCCGACCTGTCGCCAACATCTGCGTGTAACCACTACTCATCATTTCTGTTAGAATTCGAATTCTATTGGAGTTTCGATACTCGGTGGTGCTGTTCAAACTTTATCGGTCGTGCAGATGTTTGTGCTAGGACCACGCCTCATCCTGAGCGTTCGAGAATACCACGCCAAACTCGTGGCATACTCCGACGCAGACACTAGCTTGAATTCAATTGTTTTCCAGGAGCATGTACATGTATCAACTAGCAGTACCGTGTAGGGACATCCTTGCCGAGTGGTCTGCAGGGAGGAGCAATTTGGTGGAGGATCCGTCGTGGTATTTATTTAACATATGGTGTTTCGAAGTATATTTAAAAGGTCTAGGCAAACCTATTTCACTACTGGAACGAAGCACCCGCGCTTGAATCAAGTGGCAAGCTGAAATTATCCGAAACGACTAGCAACCAACCTGGTCCTTGATGACCGATGTTGAAATACAACGAGAATCAGTGAAAGCGCCTTGATAGCTGATTCTGATTCTGCGCGTTGGTGGTCCACTGTCTGAACATGTGGATACTGCGAATCGTGGCTGATAACTCATTGGTACTCAGATGCAATTTCCTCCATTCGATGGGCCACGGAGAAGGAAAGGCATGAATTGCGTAGACTCATGGTTCGATTGTACGTCTTTCTTGCGAAGTGGGGTCTAAACGCGAGGGCCAAAGTTCTCTGAATGCAGACTCCCACATATATAAGATTAGTACCCGCGGCGCTGAAGTTCATTAAAGATATGCATGATTCATACCGTCTCTTTGTCCCAATAAATGCATGAGGATATCAGATTTCATGTTGGTTCCGCTTGCTCACGGGTTGTACCATTCCAAGGCATGACAGTGCATCATGATCCAGCGAGGTGATTGCAACGAAGACTGCTCAGGCTGGAGCCCTGCAGTTGAGATTGTGTGGAAATATCCCGTCTGTAAGTTGCCTCTGGATACTTTCGCAGAATTCCTGTGTACGAATATTGAGACAGTACACTGGCAGACTGAAACATGAGCGATGCCATGGCCGCAGTTGATGAGCAACAACGATTGAAGTATATAAAACGACTGACCTATAATATTGTCTAAGTCTGATTACAGTAGAATGATTACCCACCCTTTCCCCGCCCTTCCACCAAGTCACTAGTTAGGCCTCATCAGCATCATAATCCCCCGTGAACACAAGTGCCTCGGATATATAAACATATCGTCTCGCCACGGGGCTCCGTCCTGCGGGCAATAAACATTCAAGCAAGGAACCTTAAATATAATGTGGATGATGTTAAACTTGGGAATTCCAGGCAAGCACCACAGTAAGGCTGCGGATAACAGGTGCTTCGACCTACACACAGATTGGTTGAGATAATGCTATTTCGTGTTGTCGTGTTCTAGGCTGACTTCTAGAGACTTCTAGCAGGATTTGTTCGATTGTTGAACGGAAAAACCAACGAAGTTCCTGAGCTTGACAAATCCCGCCAGTTCACTTAATTATTAGTATATTAGTGATGACTAGGAGCATACGATGATGATATCCCCGACTCCCACGATTGGGGGAAGGGATGTAAACTTGCGTTAGACGTCGTTTCTGTCAAAGGCAATGTCGTGGGAAAACCGGCTATGTTGTTAAAACTTCGTATCAGCTTTGATCATGTTCGTTTCGTTTATTGGTTCTCCCATACTTTTCTGCCATTCATAGTACTCAATTCTCGGCCTGCGATTACTCGCATCACACTTATGCCTCTAGCGAGCGTCTCTTGGGTTCTGCGCGCTCGATGAGGTCTAATGACCTCCTTTTGACGATTGACCATGCTGTTGAACCATATATGATCCTGTCTACTATCCCGAATTGCGTCTACATATCCACTTAACTGCGACCTCTTTCTGCTCCTGGCTCCGGTCCGCGTTTGCCGTTGTGTTCGCGTCCCAACTTTTGTGTAAGTTGTGTTTCAATCATACACCGTGTTACTGTTACGTTTGATGGTTCAAATATTTGTATAATTGCTGTTGACGGGCAGGCGCTGGTGTTTGGACACGCGCATTTTGAATCTGAAAGATACAACCGTTGCATTCTCTTTAGCCGCTATTTCCCTCTCCCACTTGATCACATGTTGCTTATTGTACGGCTGTGTTGTAATGCGATGATCATCCATGGTTTTGAGTACTGTTCGCGTTGCGCGCTCCTTTTTTGAACTTACTCCGAGCAGGCAATGAACAAATACTCGGAGGGGCAGTGAAATTAGCGCTAAGCGCACGATATGCGTCGAGTTTTGTGCATGTGAGTCTTACATAATGCAAAAGTATCTGTATGTGACTCCGAGTCCTGAGTAAACCAGAGTCCGAGTCCATGTACGCCCATACATCCTTTATTATCGCGAACCAAACCATCTCTTACAGATCAGCGCATAGGGTAACCCGATCGAGCATTCATATCTCCCCCAATCAGACCGCTACCAGCACTTTGACCTAAGCACTCCGAGGTCACAATCGAGATGTGCGTGTTCACACAATAAGAATCGAGGAAATTCAGTCATTCTCGGTATCAGGAAGCAGACACCGCCATCGAGTCTTGGTGTGGGTGACAAGATCGGAGAAGGGGACTCTAGCCTCATGCTTAACGTGCTTCCCCCTGAATTATGTGACACAGCGTTCAAGCAGATTATAGACGAGGTTGATTGGAATGTTATGTATCACCGTGGTATGCCCCTTCCATCACCTCGTGTTGCCCGGGCTCTGACATGGTTGGGGGTTCAGGTGGTGAGGTACCGAGGCGCGTGGCAGTCGAGGGGGAGATATCAAATGATGGAAGGTACTTTCTCTCCTCGCCGCATTTTCGATGAGCTGATCCTGTTCAATTTCAGCTTCCCAATTTACCGACATCCGGCAGATGAGTCCCCTCCGCTTCGACGATTTTCCCCGACGGTAGCTACCATCCGAGAGCATGTGGAGAACGTTCTTGATCACCCCGTGAACCATGTCTTAATTCAACACTACCGTAGTGGTGCGGACTACATCTCAGAGCACTCTGACAAGACCATCGATGTCGTGCGTGGATCGAAGATAGTCAATGTCAGCCTCGGTGCTCAGCGAGTGATGACACTTCGTCTGAAACGAGATGGGGTGCAACAAACGGGTGACAGTGCCGTAACCCCACGGCCATCACAGAAAATTCCGCTGCCTCATAATTCAATGTTCGTCCTTGGTCTCGACACGAATGCGAAATGGTTGCACGCAATAAACCATGACAAACGTCCGATACATTTAAAGTCCGCAGAGGAACAATTCATGAATGGAGAGCGCATCAGTCTCACGTTCCGTTATATCGGCACATTTCTTTCCGGAGATGAATCACGTATATACGGCCAGGGGGCCAGGGGAAAGCTTTGTGAAGCGGGTCACGCAATTATTAGCGGCGGGGAGGAAGCTGCGAAACTCTTGGAAGCATTTGGTAAGGAGAACCAACAGAGCGATTTCAACTGGGAAGAAGCGTATGGAGAGGGTTCCGACGTCTTGCATTTTACTCCAAGGGAGTCATGAGACAACCAACATCGGTGTTAAAGTTATTTACTGATTAGATTAAATACCTGTAGTGAAGTACGAGCTACGTTATCATTGTTTCTGTTGTTCTTCATGTCTCCCGCCTAGCAACGACGGCGACACTTAGGTGACATTGGAAAACACAGATACACAACTCTCTCCCGTACCACCATTACTGTCACCAGCTTGGTTTGTTGCAGTCATTAGCTTCCCGCAGCGCAGGAAGCTGTCAGTATTTCTAGCAAAAGCTTTGCGCGTCCTTTCGTTCTCCAACGTCACTCTTTCATCCGTTCGAAGGTTGCAGCCGTTGGCTATCACTAAGGTCCGATTTGATTCCGTAAAGATCTGGTAAGCGGAAGCATTTTTGTTCAGTTTCCTTTTTGGGAGGGGCAAAATATTTAGTTCTTCAGGGCAGAGCGTGTTCGTTTTGTGCGCGCCTTCTTCCCACCTTTTGGTTCACCTATACGAAAGGCAAAGACACGAGGCTCTTAATCGTGGACTTGGAACACGAGGCTTGCCTGTTCCTTTTAGATCTCTTCGGTATATCGACCTTGGGGACTTTTATCTTAACCTCCCGCTCTGCATCTTGCTCTTCATCTTATTCGCATCCTTTCACTGGACATTCCATTTTCTAATATTCAACCAACCAGAAAAAAAATCATCCAACGCGACACCAACTTATATTCTGCTACGTTTTCACGAACTCGCTTATTATTTCATCTTTTGCATGATATTTTCATTTTATTAACGATATGTCACGACTGCAGCCCAGCATGTCTTCAGAATCTCCTCTAAGCGTATCTGCGCCCGGGGATTCCCCAAATAGAGGCTACGTCTCTGAACGCCCCTCTTCTTCTACTCATCCGAGAATATCAGAAGGTTCAGAAGGTTATCCCTCATGGCTTCCAAGGAGGCCTCCGCCGCCTGCACCAGCATCAACTTTCCACTCCTCCGTTGGAATGTTCGAGCCTCCCCCACCTGAGACGTTCTCGGGCGGTCGAAAGGCTACACCACGTTCTGTGCGTGTTGTGAGCCTCCAGGAAAATGCGCAGGCTAGCGCTAATCCGTATAATCGCCGGGATATCACAGACCAGACTTCGCAGAGTAATCCTCTACGTCCTCGAGTCTGGTCACGTGCTACGACTACTGGCTTGAGCGAAACTGTAGTGTTACCGGCAGTCAAAACACAGGAGCACTCTCAGCCACCAAAGTTTCGGTCAACTGGTCTTCACCCGGAACTCCTTCGGAACCCTTCTGCCCTAACTCGTCTTTACTTTTACTTGCTTCCTCTCATGACTTTCTACCACATTCCTCTGCAAACATTCTTCGACTTCAATGCTGTATTTATAATGTTGCAGTATGTTTATATCTTGTTCAAGGATCAATAGGCGCAGTCTCATTTTATCATTCCGCAGGATCGCCAGGTCTCCCAATCCTTCCGCACCAGGTGTGCCAGGTTCGGGCAAGAATTGGGCCCTCGGTGCTGCAGCGTATATAGCTTGTTGGCTGGCTTGGATTACTATGGTTCTTGTTCTATATGAACTTGTCTACTCCTTCTGGCGCCGATGGCGTGTCAGTGAGTACTATGTCTCAACAAATTATATCCGAGACTGAATAACGATATAGAGCGACCGCTCATCACGCCATTATATCTTTCTTCGGCTGCTTTCAACCTTGCTTCCATGACGTCATATACGAACTTCTGCTTCATGCAGTACATCCGCTTCTCGGCATTCTTTGGCGAAAATGGTAGTCTTCGCGATGGCATTGCGGAAACGTTCTGGTTTTATTCGCAGAACCTGCCCACTGTCGCGCTTCTACTACCTAGAGCGGGACTCTCCCTAGCTTTGCTACTCGCATTTACATCCGCCTCTCCTGATTATGTTGCTATGCTCGAAGCTGGCTTCATTCGTCGTGATGGAACTTACTTCAGTGCGTCTGATGGCACACTGACGGCTTACGCCCGTGGCGTTCTTATAGCCAATGCTGCTTGGACGGCGTGGCGGGTTCTTGTGCTACTCTTCAGCTGGTGAGCAATCACAGGCCAATATATTTCTTTTCTTCTGATTGAAAAAACAATATGAACAGGATTGGACTGTGGATTCTTAGTGGCCAGGCGTGCGCTGGACTCTGTGGGCCGCGCTTCAGATGGGAGGAAGAAGATCGCGAGAAGTCTCTGTCCAACTACAACGGTGACGGTGCCTCTGAAGCGGATGCTCTCCCGTGGCACTGGAAAATTTGTACGCGTCTACGTATCCAAGAAGCCTATGATTTCTGCTTGACGGTGAAGCCTCCTGTACGGTGGTCTGGTGCCGCAAAGAAGGATGAACCGGGACCGCTAGGCTTGGAAACCTCCCCACCGTTTGAAGTTGACCAAGTGCTTGCGGCTGTCGGTTTGTCTTCCGTGCCACCACTAGCAAGGCGCGGTGCGCTTTCAGAAGATCTTTTCGCTCTTCCGAGAGAGGTATCTGGTGAGGCGCCAGCACCTCCACCGGAGCTGTCCGAGATCATCCCCAAAGTTGTAAAGAGATCATCGAAGGATAAGGAGATGTCCGGTCCTTCGGCACCTCTCCTCAAGCTTCCGTATCCGTTCGCCGGGTATGGTGCTCAAGTGTCATCTAAAGATCAAATTCCTTTCCCGCCTTCCCCTGCTTCCACGAAGGAAAAGCGCATATCACCACCAACCAGCGGCTCAGAACGTCCAGCACAAGATGATGAAGAGGATGAAGAAGAAGTGGATGATGATGACGATGACGATGAAGAAGAGGAATCAGACGAAGAGGCCGAGGTCGAGGTCGAAAATAACAGCGAAGCTCCGCCACGTACCTCGGGTTCAATGTCCAGTCTTGGACAGCCGGTATCATCTCGTTACCCATTCCAAATTCGTCGTCCTGGCCGTGGAGGTTCAGTTTCTTCAACGACTGGTACACACTCGACTCCTAAGACACATCCATCAACGAATACTCGTTCAACGATGTCGCGAACGTCAACTTCTACACAATCCACTGGCAATCGTGATACCTCATCTGAATCTCCCCATTCGCATGGCATGAGCTCGGGGTTGTCCAGTCCTAGTTCTGGATATGGTAGCCCGATACCTATGCCACCTCGTCATCCCCAACCAGGCCGTGGTCGCGCTCGTGCAGGAACTGTTCCAGCGTTGTCGCCTCCCTCTCCGATCGTGTACACTGCTCCCACCAGAATTCGTGTCGATAGCGCCAATACCGACACTTTTGGTGGTGGCGGTTATGAATCCTTCCTTAGTGAGGAGGCTGACGATGACGATGAGGCAGAGGAGGATGGGGAGGAGGAACAGACAGAAGACCAGTATGATGAGCCTCAGATGATGGAACAGCCTGTGCCTGAAGGTCCCCACGAAGCTGCGGAAGGCGAGGATAGTGTTGGTCTCCTCGGAGTTGGTCCTCGCAGCCCGAAATCATCGATGGTCAGCAGCCGTCGCCGTCGTGGTCATCGCTCAGATTCTGGGCGTTCACAATCTGGACGTTCTCGATCTAATTCTCGATCTGCTTCTCAATCGGGTTCGTCGAGTTCTCGTGCTGGTTCAGCCGTTCGTTCGCGGACGCAGTCACTCATACACAGCATCGGAGCCGCCTCACGATCATCGTTGGATCTTGTCCAGTCCATACGCTCTCGTGCAAATTCGTCTATGGCTCGTCTTGAAGAGGATACGACGTATTCATCCGACTCTCGCTCACGTAGTGGGTCGGATGGAGTTCACAGCAGCAACGAGAATTATACTTTCGGAGTGAGGCCACCTATGGGGCAACGCTCTGGGTCACGTCTGAGAGAGACTTCCTCGAACCCCTCCATCTATACCCCCTCTATTTCTGCACCTTCAGAGGCAACTACCTCTCGTCTCACTGCTCGCCCTACTTCCCGTGAGCGAGAGGTCGAGCGATTAGATATTCCCGGGCGGCCGTATGGGGGACAAAGTGATGATAGCCGACCCGACATCAGTACCGCAGCTCAGTCGTTCATAACAGCGGCTGCTACATTAGAAGGCACCTCGGCGTCTAGTGAACCCCCAGCAAGTTGGCAAGAAGTGTCGCACATGGTTGACAGACCAGGCACTGAGTGGAGACCTGCATGAGCATTCCTCGTTTTCTCAGATTTTTTGCATGCTACTTATTTGACATCATCTATTCACATTCTTCCACATCATGACACGTAACTTGACAATTCTTCATTCCATAATTCAATATTCAACACTGGAGTTACATTTCACACCTATTCCCGCGCGAGACCGTTTACATAATTCTTCTACCGTTGATACTCCTGTTCTACCTAGCTCAATGACATCCTCATGGATTCGAAGTTTTCCATCTACAAGCCTGTTATGACTGTTTGACTTCAGGCGGAATACATATTCTGCGGAACTAAATGAAGAGCGTACTTGATGACAATGTGTATTAGCTGGGCGCTCAGCGCCTTAACAATGCTGCATGTCAAGTACGTAGCCCCATAGTTCACACCAACACCCCTAAAAGCTCGGGTAGATATGACATGGAACACATCTAACTCAGAAAAAATGTTTTTGAGGACTGTTGTGCAGGATTTTTTTTAAGCTTCACGAGCGGCACAAGGTAGGTCAAAGTAGACGTACCTCATTTCAATGGCATGCTGGCATCCAAGGTTGTGATCCGTGTCGAGGGGATGATCCCGGGATCAACGTTAATAAGCGTGTTAGTCAGATAAGCATAATTAGCGTTCGAATTGGAAAGATTATGCAGTGCCTGCATACGTGTATCACTGTACTCAACAAGGCGCTGAGTGGGCGACGAGGAAACTTATTCTCGAGAGAAGTGGACAATTTCCCCCCCAGAGCTAAGCGCTAGCGATACTACATCCAAATGGTATCGGTCGATGCAATATTATGAATAGTCGTCAGATTGACAAGGAAGCAAATAAACCGTAGTGTTACAATTATGGGCGACGACTGTACAAATATGCAGGAGATGAACCGCCAACCTCTGCATATCCAAAAAGAGGATAATGAGATCAAAAATTAGGAAAGCAACGAAGAAACTGGAAGAGTGCGCACGTTCTACCATCACATCGATCGTATCTAGATAGGAGTAATTTCAGAAACAAACAAATATATGACAGAGGAAAAAGGCTCACCATTGTCCTCCATTTCGAGGCTTGCAGGCGTATCATCGTCGTTGATTCTCGATCCGTCGTACAAAAATCTGATTAAAGGTTGCTCAGCAAATTGGGAACCAACACAGTTTATGCCACCCATAAAAATCCACCTGCCCAATAAGTGGAAATTTTACTCACCGAATGCTGCCCACATCCTTACCGACTTTAGTAGCATAAGCGCCTTGAAGCTTGCTCAACTTGGTGTTGCTCTTGATTTTGAAAAAAACCTCGTCTCCAGTTGAGCTTACAACCTGGGGGAGAAGATCAGACTTGCGATCCGTTGTAAGATGGGAAGTCGCGTCAATCGATGCGATGCCATCGATTTTCGTACCTTGACATTAATTGGCGCGTTGTCCTCAAGCTTAAAGCCTTCTTGTCCTTGAGAACCTTGCTGCAGCTCTTCAGCCATGGTAGCGAGTAAAGATTGTACAAATAACGTGAATAAAGATCAGGAAACGCGGATAACGTGGGTAAGATAAACTCGGTGAGGAAGTGACGAAGACAAGGAGAAACTTGTGTGGACGGGACGGCGAGCAGAGATTGTCGGTGTTTGTACTGCTTCTTTTACCTAATCCGCACTCAGATCCTCAACTCCCCGTAGATGTGAAAGCAATCCAGTCTATGTATTCAGAATATGTATAAAGTAAAAGGTTCAACTGTAAACCAAATCAATGTAAAAATTATATGTGAAGATATGTAACAATTAACCGAGAACTGCGAATGAAATGCTGACGATGATAAAGAATTTGAAGAACAAATGTCGATCTTGCAAGGGCCAAAAGGGATGTAACAAGTGTGATCCCTGTTTGAGCTCGGAATGACTTAAATTCGGCGACAGGCTATACATCCTTCTTCTTCCCTTTATCTTTCTTACCGGCTCTGCTAAGCAGTTTCCGTGCACGACTGTATTCCTCATCTTCGTCACTCGAGTCTTGCCATATAACAGGTTCGCTGGATTCATCATGATTGTCACAGTCCTTCTTCGTTGAGCTCCAGGGGTAACGGCCATGAGCCTCATCATCTTCCAGGGCAGGCGGAGTAGGAGAGAATGTCGGCTGGAGAGATACCCGAACACTCTTTCGTCTTGTCGGTGTTTCAGTGGAGGATGACTCGGTATCATGTGGCGGAGCCGGGGGAGTTGACCCCCCCTCGATAGGACTTTCCTCTGCCGTTCTATATGATGACATTGATATCATCGAAACTGAATCTCTTATCGAGATATCATTCAGTTCATTAGCCTGCCCGGGCCGGGCTGGTCTCGGAGTGCGCTCCTCGGGTGCATCCCGCTCTGGTGTCCGTCCACGAGGTTTACTATCCTCAGCGCTTACATCAGCTCCTCGCTTTCGTATCTCTGATAATAGAGCTGGGCTGGGTGATGGTGTACGGCTGGAATTTCGAAGAGCTGAACGAAGAGGTGACACAGCCGGTCGGGAGGTCTTTCTGGATTCGCTTCCAGGAACTGCAGCTGACTTGTGACTCCCCTTTCCTATAGACGGGCGACGAGGTGGGGTTTCGTGTTTGGGTCTCGCTGTTCCTTGTGCGCCCGGAACAACCGGGAAGGACTGAGATGCAGAAAAAACTGACCCCGGTGCACGGGGAATGTCCAATGATCCTGAGCGGACAGGAAGCCGATCATGGGAAGGTTTGGAGGACCACGTTGGGTTGGTAGGCACACCTGGTATAGGGGCACGCGGGACCTCAAGTTTAGTAGTACTTGGAGATGGACTCGACGAGCCTGTAACTGTAGCACCCCGGGTGTTGCGATTCTGTCGTGCGACATCCTCGACGATGCTCATAAGGCTCACACTAGTGCTCCCTTTCGCTGGGAGAGGAGGATGTATGGTCACTGCTTTGGGTGTGCGCTTGGATCTTGATCTCGCAGTTCCAGGAGAGTCCCCCGGATGTTGAGGTGCTGCACCGTATGTGAGGGAGGCTGACCGTCGTGGATAACCTTCACGAGGCGCTTCCCCATTGCCACTGTCAAGATTCCCGGAGAGGTCTGTACTTGCTCTGCGATGTTGTGGCTTGACTGCTACCTGATTTGGGGCCGACCTTACGCTACTTCGCATTGAGAGTGAGGATGCACGTGAAAGATCGAGTGGTTGAGCCTGAGGACTGGAGGTTGGGGTTATCTGCCGCTTTACAGACGGACGTCGGTTAACAACCTCCGACTGACTCCGAGATGGGAGGCCTGCAGGAGTTGAATTGTTTGCGTCAAGCTCGCCGTCTGTATACCCGCCGTCCCCGCCCTTTAGCTCCGCAACTGACTTCTTCTTTTTCCGCCTGACGCTTGTGCGTGGACTTGCAGAAGGGGGTCCGTCAGTCTGCCATCCACTAGATGATGCGAGAGCGGTCGTCTGTGACCGGCCCTTGCGCAACTTCGCACCTCTTGAAGGTAGAGGGGGCTTGCGAATTGTCTCAGGCTCAGACTCTGAGCTGTCTTGAGATCTGGAAGCCTTCAAGTTTGCATCTGTTCGCGTAGACCAGCCCTTCTTCCCTTTGTTGCTTGTACTGGCATCCGGGGACTCTGTAGCACCACTCCACTCTACCCGAGTTTGATCCTTGTGCGAGATCTTGAATAAACCGCGCAGAGAGCCGAAGAAACTCATGGATGGCATACGCTCCCGCTGTTTACCGTTACGCTTGGGTGTGTGCTCAACAGCATCTGGAGATACTTCGTGATGCAGAGAGAAGCGTGTGGATTGACTGAATGGATCGTTCTCGACGACCTCTAAGGGACCTTGAGTCTCCTCCTCTTCACTGCTATCGTCCGCACCGCGAGCGCTGTCAGGGGATGGGAAGTAGGAGTTTGTTACGACAGCAGGCCCCTCACTGTACTCATTTTCGTCTATCTCGGTTATGCGCCTGGATAATGGACGGCGGATCTGTTGTGCACTACTACCAAGTAGGAGGGGGCGGGTCTCGAGGTCTGTTGAACTCCCAGGTAAAGGGGCCCTGAGAGGGGATGGAGAACGGACACCAGTTGGCATAGTAAGTTCTGAGATGGCATGTGCAGGAGGAATGCTGATTGTCACGTCTTCATGGCCACTGGAGCTAGGATGATCAGGAATCGCGCCTTCTTGGCTAGCTCCACGAGAGGGCCCATCGTGTTGTTGTGAAGCACTTTGAGAAGGTGTGAGGGAGGAAATGTCGGAGGAGTAGGATATTGGGCCCTGTGTAACACGAGAAGGCAGCGTGAGAGGCTTTTGTTTGGGAGTAATGGACGTGGAGGGTGGATGCGAATTCGATGGAAATGACGCCAAAAGTGGTTCTGGTTCTGGATACGCGTGCATCATGCTTGTGAATAGGTGATCTGAGACAATAAAACAATATGGAAACACACCTTGAACATCTGAACTTGAAGCATTAAGAGTCTGTAAGGCCCGGAGACCTTCCTTGCCCATTTCGCCCCAAGTCCACCCACAATCAACAAGAGCCCGACAGCGAGCACCGAGACCTTCTCTAGCTATGCTGACCCGAAGTGCCTCTAACTCCAGCTCTTTAGTAGCCAAATGAGCCTCACATGCGCGTAACTCCTCTTGAGTTTGCAGAAGTTTGGTATTCGAAGAGCCGTGTAATGTAGAATTGGTAGAAGGGAGAGATATAAATGAGGTAGAACCAGACGGTAAATTAAGTGATGAGCGAGCATCCCGTGTGGTCTTGGAGGATTTGGAAACTTTGATTAGCCGAGTTACCCTGAAATGAAGATTAACGGAGAGCTAGAAAGAAAGAGTTGGGACGGACAGAATTTCCCTATCACGGAGAATAGCTGCTATGTCTTGCTCGAGTTTTATCAAGTGAGCAAGTTGATCGCGCCAATTCTCAACTGCCTTATTGTAAAGCTGAAGAGCATCGTCCGCACCGGAGAGGATATCAACGATGGTGGCAATAGTTTGTGCCAGAGAGACCGAAGAACTACTAGGTATAGCCGAAGGTGAGGCAGCTGCGAATGCAGAAAGAGAGGCTAGAGCAGCATGTGATATGGGGAAAAGAGCGGATAGATGTTTCGTATACTCCTTTTCGTGTGCTATGAGGTTGGACAGGAGACGAGAGTCTGGAGGACGGTGGACCATCAGTTAAAGACACGACAACGTATGATCGATTAGGTCGTGCTTGATGACGAGGAAGTGTTGCAGTGCACTGCGGTCAACGGTGAGATGGATAACAATATTTCCAACGAGGAGCAAGCGAGGCCAAACGTGACCACCGGTAGTAGCCTGCAGACAAGTCGCAAACACTTACATAACATCTCAGACGTAGTAAAGACTGGTTACGAGTCTAACTTAACCACTTGGCACTGGATAACAACTTCAATATGGTTGGCCGCAGCTACTACTTACCTACTACTGTTTAAGCAGTTTTTCTAAGGATGGCTTCCTCCGCTGCTCATCCCATCCTTCTAAATACGAGATTTGGTAGAAGGACCACTACAACTTTCTCAAAGAAAAGGTTACATGCTACGAAGTTGCTACAGTCCGGACTGGGTACCCTCTTGGACGGACAGCAACTAAATTGCCGCGAGGATGTGATAAGGTCCCCAGTAGGTACTGTGCCCCTCGGATGATAGCATTGTTTGATCAATCACCATACCTTCTCACTAATATTGTATGCTAGATGCACGACGCACTCAAGACGGCGCTCGCGTATCACTCAAATGTATAGACGTATCGTGACACTCTTACGAGATAGAAATTGGTCGCTTTTTCAGTAGCTTACCTCTCATCCAAGATCCAGCCAACCATTGCGTGCCAATTTACGCCTGCGGGCACCCGCTGACAATTATCTTGACATGTCGTCACTTCGATATGCTACAGATCCCTATTTTGATACCGTTGGAGAAGTTGTAGACTGCATCATCAGCTTTGCGAGGTATGATCTTTATTGACCGACTCGTGATCTTGTCATTTATCTATTTATTTCTTCTGAAGGGGCTGCTTCATGTACCGATATCATGTTGCTCACCGGTACGTATCCTGATTACTCGAGTAACTTATCTTATGACCTGAGCATAGGGACTGCATGCGGTTAAACCTACTAATAGATGACTGCATGCTCATAGACACGTGGCATCCTAGCGATCCATAATGATATGTCGAAGGACTTCAAATCTGTGGCCAGGCATTGTGCACGCATGCAGTCCCCACCACGATACCATTACATAGACTTTGGTATCTCCCGCAAATATGATGCATCCTGGAAACCCCCATATATGGTGGGAATAAATGAGTTTCTGAGTTCGTGGAAGACTACACCAAACCTTGGAACCCTTTCCCAACTGATATTTGGTCTTGGGTATATATGCCATCCAAGACATTTTTCAACGTAAGGTGCGATTGTAGCATTTCATTTTTCACACTCTGATTTGGACGTAACAGTGTTTACTCAGGCGTGGAATTCCTGACTGGCCTAGTATCGGACATGATGCACTCGGATCCAGCACAACGTCCGAACATGGACGATATTTTTTCTCGACTCCAGATTCTACGTCAGGTCCTCAGGAAATTGAAGTTACGTTCCCAGGTGGCCCACAACGGCGAGATATCCCTATAACATACAGGCATGTCAAATAACTATTGGCTATACCGTATACTTCTGGCGGATAAAAGGATTGGTTGAATGCATGAGATACGTCTGACCAGGTCCATGACGGTACCTGAATAAGTATCCACCTATCGAAGGTAGACCTCGTGGAGAAGGGCCATCAGCGAGGTCAGCCACTCTAAGGCCTCCCAGCTTGGTACGCCTTGAACCGGAGACATGTAGGTTCTAACAAGGTTTTACATAACTCAGATTCGTATCATCATCCATGCCTTATCTAGCCCGGCATCTATTCTAGGTTGTGCTTCTATTTAGTGCGGGGCTTTACCCATCACGCGGGCTGTCCATAATCGAACACGTATCCTACTCCCACCATCGATGCACCTCGCGTCTCTATTGATAGTACCTGCAGGAATAGTCGCCCTTATTCTCATACTGCGTGCAATATATAAATGTATCACCGGTCACCGGCACCCACCCTTATTGGTCGTTGCAACAGCTCACGTGCAAGACATCACGCTACAGGCCTTCAAGCTTCAAGCTTCAACGTTCCTGCAAAGTATCTTCGAATTTCTCCGTTTCCCACATTCTATCAGACACTTCATCCAAGTGATCGTTTGCTTGCTCCAGGACTGTGATCCATGTCACTGGGTGTATGTGCGTGTATATGCATGTCTGTATCTCGTTCGGTTCTTAGCAAGGGCTCCAACAGAATTATCACAGTCGATGCCTCATCAGTAGTTTGATATGTATGCTTGAGGCCTTCTGACATTTTCTTATTCTCCACTCATCACTGAGCAGATCCCATATCCTTGTCATCATCTCACTCGCGAGAGAGACGTACAGTCGAGCCATGAGTCTGCGCGATTCATTCATTTCATTCTCCGTAGCCCATCGCATGGAGGAAATTGCATCTGAGCATCCATGAGTTATCAGCCATCTGGCTTCACGCTTCGCAGTCACTTCATCGTCTATATATTCAGACAGTGAAACTCCACAAACGCGCAAATGTCAGGGCGCTTTCACTGATTTTCGTTAACTTGTATTTGAAAATTGGCTATCAACGACCAGTTTGGTTACTGGACGTTCCGGATAATTTCCCCTTACCACTTGGTTCAAGCGCGGGTGCTTCGTTCCAGTAGTGATACGACAAGAAATAGCTTTTCCTAGACCTACTTCGAAACACTATATATGTTAAATAAATATCAATACGGATCCTCGATCAAATTTCTCCTCCCTGCAGACTACTCGGCAACTATTCCCTACACAGTACTGCTAGTTGATACATATACATGCTCCTGGAAAACAATCGAATTCATGCTAGTTTCTGCATCGGAGTATGCCACGAGTTCCGCGCTGCATTCTCGAACGCTAAGGATGAGGCGTGGTCCTAGTACAAACATCTGCATGACCAATAAAATTTGAAGAGAAGCAAGGAGTATTTGAGCTCCAATGGAATTCGAATCCTATAGAACTGATGAGCAGTGGTTACACACAGATGTTGGCGACAGGTCGGCGCACCGCGATTTCTGGAGAGAGATAAGCAAGCTGGATGCAAGAGACACCAACAAAGCTAACATGTGCGGAACGTGAGCAGAAAAATATAACTGCGTTCCCATTACGAGCTCACCTTGCAAAATAAAGAACGTGAGATTGTATCAGTACTCTGAAACAGTCCCCGATGGTCGATCCTGTCGATGGGCCGAGTTGTCGCAGTTCACGGAAGTGTTTCACAGCAACCCAAACTGAAAGACACAATGCGAGGACCTCCCAAACAGTGTTGAGCATCCAAATGATCGAAATAAAAAGCTGGTCGTTCTCTCCATATACATAACCGCACATATATATGCCAGAGAGTATGAACTCATCTGGTGTTTGTCCAATGAGCCATGTTCTTCAAGTCGACAAGTAAAGCTTACCCAGTACAGTATCGTTGAGTCCTATTGCTGCCATTACTCCGCAGGCGATGTTTACAGCCAGGAAAATAATAACAAGGAACATAAGCATCATTCTAGATCCCTGATACATGGCATGCAACCGAGCAATCATGATGACTTGCATCGTGTGTCAGTCAGGTCAATATCAGAGGTATTGCACCTGAGTAACTTACCGCCCAACATAGCAGTCAAGGCCACATTTGTCCCACTTACTGCGGAGTACGTGATAGTGCCTGAAACTCCCAATTAGTGAACGCCCTCGCACTAGTATCAAAGACTTCGACTTACACCTATCGAGTCATTATGTTGCGCCAAGTTCGATGGTTGGAATCTCACTCACCCCTACATATGAGCGTATTGATTGAATGGGAATGAGATGATTGCATAACACTTACTGCATCTGTCAGCGATACCGATGGCACATATTCTGTGTCCCACCGGTCAGAAAAATGGAACACAGCGCATATGAGACATACCCAGAAGATGGACACTAATTGTCAGAGATGAGCTATCAGCACAGTGCAAAGTTGTTGATCTCGACACATACACAGAATATGGTATTCCAATATAGCGTATCTAGAACATTTTGGAGTTAGCACAAGTTGCCCACCACGCTGAAGCACAACAAGAGTACGAACAATCAAATACAGCACGGTCATGAGAGACCAGCGTTGTCTCTGTTGCGAATTCATTACATTCTCTTGTTTTCTTCTGATACGGGACTCTTATCACTCACCCAGATGAGTTCAATCTATGGCGCCATTCTTAGCGAGTTAGCTGCTCTGGCGATAACATCGACGTACCTCTTGTCCGAATGTTAGGACTGGAAATATCATGAGAATATCAGCGACTTTTGAACACTGTCCTGCTCACCCCAATCGTATACCACCACGACGCCCACGGCAACTGCGAAACCACAACTCAACTTTAGATCTGGACACCTTGATGCGACAAACCTGTCCAATAGCTGACAAAAATATCCAAATTGATATACTGCCACCAACTGGGATCATTTGAGACGTAGGTCATGTTCGAGGGATAGTTGAGGGAGTGGGGAATGTCAGTAGGGTATGACGATAGCGTTCGTGCTAGATATACAACCGTTTGGCAGTCCTTGTATCACCAAAATCAGCATGATGGCGATGGAAATTTGGTCACGCCTCAAGACACTTGATCAGGTGAAGCGGTGCGAAATCAAACAAAAAGCTGGCAGTGGTAATCAAAGTAGATTTTGATTTCCAAAACAGTATTTCGCACGGGACTACTTCAACACCAGGAAAGTTCCAGTCATTTGTGATGACGGCAACTTATCTCCAACGCGATTTTTTGCTGTGAGCTTGCAAAAATTGAAGGATTTCCTATGAAATCATGTAGTCATCGATCTAACACAGGTCGAAGTGTGATATGAGTGAAACAAGTATTTACACACTCTTCAGCATCGCTGGCTGAGCCCGAGGCATAACAGCCCTCCGATTACTCTCATGGAACGAGAGTCATTCTGTGGAACTCAGACAAGAAACCGTGACAGAGTGGGTCAAATATATCTCACCTTGTCCGTCGCCTGGTGCGCTCGAATCATTGGGTTATCATGGTTATATCAAAACGATAAACAAAGAGATGGTAAGCATAGAGCAAATTCGATACAAAGCGCACTTGATGTCATGGTGATGACGATGTATTGTACTGTCAGATAAATCCTGATCCATGATTGATGGATGTTGAATACCTTATACGACACCATGGGCGGAAATTGCACACGGGAGACAATAAGCCTGCAACAGGCCAGAAGGCTCATCTCGATGGCATTGTGTTTCAGTAACCATCTATCCTGTAAGAGTGAGACCCGTCGTTCCCATTTAGGTCCATCCTGTGTTGGCACACAGATCAGTGCCATCGAGTGTTAAATGCATGAAAGTTATGATATAGTTACCCGTGACAACACCAAATTACGGCGACGAATTAAGGCTTTCGAATTGCTATTGACGAAGAAACGGAAATGAGGGTCGAAGTTGAAAGGTGCTTTGACGGTGGTGGGATGTGTTGTTGTTATAAGTACAAAATGGTCATTGGTCGCGGTGCTTTGCAAAACAAGTGGGAACGTACACGCAAATGTTCCCTGTCATAGCGATGCGAGGCCATCGATGCGGTTTGCACATAACTGCTACCACAGCGATCGATGAGGAACCATCAGATCCAACGGGTCTTTTAAGGAGTAGAAGCGAGCTACACACACCACTGGCCGTTCTTATAGGCCTTGGACGAAGTTTAGGCAAAAGAGCCCATCAGATAGACCTTCACGCGGAAGTTACATTCGCGGACCTAACCTAATTATAAGGATTTGTGAACGGTGGGTCTGGCACCAAAACGAGAAGAGCTTTGACTCACGAATGGCACGCAATACATGAGCTCAGTTTTTGGCAGCTTCGATATGCACGTAAGACACTGCTGGAATTCAAAATTCAAAAATACCTACCTACATATTTGGTGCGTCGGACGCGCCCCTGCAAGCGTCACCCCCTCACCCTATTTACCGGACTTTTGCACGCATGGTGCATCCACAAAACTGCCATAGTACTAGGTGCGCACCTGATAGCGCGCCACCCTAGGGTGGCCCACCATTTCTGACTTAGAATATTAGGCACCTAGGCACCTAAGATCGGGCATAAAGCCCTAAAATGAACATATACACAGTAAACGAGACAGAAAAGACATACGCACCGTTTAAAGATACATTCGAATTTCGAAAGCAACACAAATCGTGCCTTCAATGCAAAGATAGCTTGAAGTCGTGCAGAGCGGCGAGCAACGGAGTCCAAAAATCACATGATGCACTGATTGAGGGCCTTAGGATTTTTTGCCGCATCGTACCGCATCAGTACCGCACCCTACTTAATAGTGTGTCTTATATCCCTCGGTAATATCTCTATGTCGTCCATACAGGCCATGAATATGATTCTTGATTCAAAAATGTATCTCGCGCCTCATGTGCTTGTGGGCAGAGTTGGCTGTGATGCTCCACAGATGGCATGGGCCAGAACTGGTATGTCTTCACGTCCTGCCGCTCTCTGTGTGTGCATACTTGACATGCGATCTTACTGAAACGCCCCGCCCTATAGGAACACGTTCAACATTGGCTTCCAATTTCGTGCCAAGGGCCTGACGACGGTATTGGATTCGACGTCTGAGAAATTCCTCTTCGGCCAGGTGATGCGCCAGTCCCAACAACCCAATCAGGGCAGTAACGCTACCATCTATCTCGACTTTGCCTCCCTCGGGCGCCTGAAGTGTGGTCCTATCTATTTGGTCCGACGGGCGCACCCCTGTAAACGTCACCCCGTCACCCCAGCCGCAAATGGAAGTCCATCACGTAAGTGGCTGTCCGTCACCCCACCTTTTTTTTTCCCATCCGCCATTTTTTGCCCTTGGCGCTGTCAGCGTCACCCCTTCTTTTTCCCATGAGGTGTCGTAAGTGGCTGTCCGTCACCCTCGCTTCTTTTCCCATCCGCCAATATGTCCTCTTGGCACTGTCCTTGGTGCTACAAGCGTCACCCCGTCACCCTCGCTTATTTAGACCCATAGGCGTCACCCCGTCACCCTCCCTTATTTAGATCTATAGGCGTCACCCCGTCACCCTCGCTTATCCAGTATCTTGGGCATCACCCTCCCTTATTTAGATCCATAGGCGTCACCCTCCCTTATCCAGGCGTCACCCCGTCACCCTCCCTTATTTAGATCCATAGGCGCCATGCGTCACCCCATCACCCTCCCTTATTTAGACCCATAGGCGCCAGGCGTCACCCCGTCACCCTCCCTTATTTAGACCCATAGGCGCCAGGCGTCACCCCATCACCCTCATTTAGATCCATAGGCGTCACCCCGTCACCTTTGCTTATCCAGGCGTCACCCCGTCACCCTGTCCGAGTTGCTTCTGGATGTGTCATCCCGTCACCCTTGCTGATTTAGACTTTAAGGCATCACCCCATCACTCTCACCTATTTATAATCAGGCGTCAACCCGTCACCCTTACTTATTTAGACTTTCAGGCATCGCCCTGTCCGAGTTGCTTGTGATGGACGATTATGTAAATTCCCAGCAGCTGTTTTGCGAGCTCGTTCTGTGAGGGCACTCTTTCCACTTGTATATTTATGAATCTTAGTATTAAAACCCGCAGCTTTAATGGCTCGGGTGACAGCAGGATCGTTTCACAACTTGCCTTCTTCTTGCTATCGGCACTTTGAAGAAGATGATCGAGGCCGTGAATGCTTCTTACATCACCATCGACTTT